TGGCCACTCAAGACAATAGTGTTAGATAGAAAGCCACACATTTTCATGTGTATGATGCCCATCAACAATGGTTGTCACCTCCATGCATGTGTTTAACTCTACCTCACTACATCTTCCTAGAGCATCTCTCCCTTAACATAGGAGAGAAAAAGAGGTTTGCGACTTGCCTTCTCACTGTACTCTCTGGCATTTATCAGAACATGTTTTGAAAGAAAAGGAGGAGGTACAGCACATGAACTCTGTCCCATCTCCTCTAACCTGCTCAAAGACTCACAGCTCCTAGTTTGAAAACTCACACCACATACAAAGGCCAGGGAAGGAGACTACAGAGGAAAACAGAAACTAAGCAGGATAATACCATGGGTCACAGTGTAACCTCTGAAGCGCTAATACTTGTACCCTCAAGGTATATATAAAATAGTTTACTCAGAGGCCATCCATATCATAGGATTACCTGAGTATTCATTTTACTAATGGAATTAGACCAGGAAAAAATTTTTGTATTAAATACAGACACTTAGTGAATTTAAAATTCACACTCATTTTTGGCAAGGAAACTTGAAACTTTTAACCTTGAGGAGGAAAATGTCCTCTCAGCCTCTACCTGCAGTTGTCCTGGGTAGATATACACTTTTCTATATGGGGCTCTTTGGTGAGTTCATTAATGCTTAAGATCTCCTCAGTGGTCTCATAGTTGAGTTCTTTATCTTCTGAAAGTATTTGCTTTACCTAGTTCTTCTGTCCTGACTCTTCTTGCATATAGCTTTGTGTTTATAGGCATCTTAGTCAAACGAACTCAGTGGCCCTACATTCTCCTTGGAGACCAGCTGAATTTAAGAATCATAGCTTCTAGAAGCCAGACGTGGTGGCACATGCCTGTAATCCCAGCACTTGGGAGGCTGATGCAGGAGGATCGTTGCAAGTTTGAGACCACCTGGGCTACAAAGTGAGCTCAAAATCAGCTTAAACTACATAGCAAGACCCTGTCTCAAAAAAAAGACCAAAAAAAAAATCATAGTTTCTAATCCATTTGTAGGAAAATGGATGCATCTTGAGACCATAATGTTAAGTGAAATAAATCAGATACACAAGTCTAAATATCACATGGTTTCTCTTATACGAAAAACCAAAAATATAAATAAAAAGCAAAATAAAAGTTAATGGGAAGTAGGGAGCTAGATCTTTCTCAGATGGGGAGGATGATCAAGAGATAAAGGGAGGGGAAGGGAAGGGAGAGGAAGGGAATGAAAAAAGAATTAAGATGTGTTATGTACTATACCAAGTCCACACAAGGCATGTAATCATTATGTACTATAAACGTGTACTAATAAAAAATAAAAACAAACAAAAAAAAGTCAGAGCTTCTCAGTCTTCTCAAATTACTTTGTCTGCCTTGGTTTAAAATTTCAAATTACAATAAAGTTCCTTAACTTTTCTCTAGAAATGCCATACTAATCCAAGACTTTTTTTTTTTTTTTTTACAAGCCAAACAATGCACTGAGAACACAATACCTTCTTTGAAAGATGTAATAAGAGCTTAGAGATAACTGTGCTCATTGCATTTAGACTGGTGACCAAGGCAAAGGAAAGTGATAACAGGATGTGAAACTTGCTAAATTCTTCCTGAATATCTCTTCTATGAGAATTGTCACTAAGTGCCTAATTTATTTCAGGCACTGGACTAACTGCCAGGGTACAAAGTTGATTAAAACTCAATAACTTGCCTTTCTAGTGGAGAATTAGATTAGAAAATCAGTAACCAAAGGATAGCGGAGGCACTGGGTGAGAGAGCAAGGGACAGCTGTTTGCTCAGAAGGTCAAAGTCGTTCTTTTGGGCATAAAATGCTTCCAAATTTCAAAAACATTGAAGTGACAAAAAGGGCGTGTTTTGGCATTTGAAGAAATATAATTTGGAGTTTTCCCTGTTACATGGTAATATCAAAGATGCATAATTTTCAGTCATGGGAGTTACTTCAAACTGAGTAACATTTAAAGCTTAGTTTAGGGGCTGGGGATTTAGCTCAGTGGCACAGCGCCTGCCTGGTAAGTGTGATGTTGTGAGTTCAATTTCCGGTACCGGAAAAAAACAAAACAAACAAACAAAAAAAATAAAGCTTAGTTTAATGGTTCTTTCTGCCCACGCTCTATCTCTATCACAGTTATGCCTACTGGGCCAGTCCACTAAGTACTGGAGCTACTGAATATAAATTAGAGGAGAAGAAAGAAAGGGACACCAACTATTGTACATGTGGTATTGACAGAAAGAATATATTCAGATCTGAAGGAAAGTGAGGGGTTTGGGAAATGGTAATAAAAGTAGCAGAAAGCCAGGAACCTAGAGTTGGGAATATACAGCTTTGGGAAATCTGGGGTGCAGGTTTGTGGGCAGAATGTAGCAATTCTCAGTAATACAGTTATTTGAAAACTGGAACTCCTTTGGTAAATACTTTGACAAATTTTGTATCAATAGAAGCTGTCAATGTAATTCATAAGCTATTTTTCACAGTATCGTGCCAATAATATTGTGTAATGACAGGGCTGTTTGCCATTTCCACCAATAGTTTTTATTAATTAATTAATTTGAGGCCCTATGTATTGCAGGCTGGCCTCAAACTCATGGCAGTCCTCCTGCCTCAGCCTCTTGAGTGCTGGGATTACAGGTGTGTGCCAAGTTTAAAACTGAATTTAAAAGGAAAGAGCTTGAGAGTATTCAGCTAAGAACTGAAGAAATGAGAGAAAGAATATTGTTTTGTGGTCCCTTAATGAATGAGCGGGTATAACCTCACAAGACAACAGGTGCCTTCTGATAGAAGAATAAAACACCATCCATAAAATTGCCATGCCAGAGCAGTCAATCAACCTACCAAAAATTCTAGTCAGAATCTGATCAAGTCTCTTTATTTAGCTATCAATTTATAGGACCACTATGGTTGAGAGGAGCACACTGTGGGGATACCATCAGCAAAAACCCAGCCACAAGAATCTGTACCATAAATAACCCATTTTCTTTAACGAATAAATTACAAGGAAAAAAAAAATCAGAGGACAGACATATAGATTTGCACTATCCAATATAATAGCTAATAGCTTCATACCTCTGAAATCTGTCAAAATTCAATAAAATTAAAAATACTTTTCCTCAGTTGCACCTTTCAGGTGTAAAGGTGGAAAGTGCCATTAGACAGCACTGGTATAGACACAAAAGATGTAGTATCTCAGGTTCTGTAGTCCTTATTTGGACCCTTGGTCAAGGAAATTCTCCTAAAAATATTAAGCTAACAGGGTAAGTGGAGCTAACTGGATAGCTGATGGTATTAAAGAATTATTTTTAGAAAAAATAGAATTTTTTTGGTGTGTGATAATGCTATTGTGATTTTTTTAAAAAGGAAATCCTAACAGGTAAGAGATGCATATTGAGATGGAAGTGAAATAAAATGATGTATGTCTATAACTGGCTTCTAAATACAAGGAGACGAAACAAGATTGACTTCAAATATTTTGATTATTGTTGAAAGTAAGCAATGAGTACAAGGAAGATTCGTTAAAACAATTCTTCCTTCTATCTAGATTTGTCATTTTCTTTTCCTGTCTTTTTTTTTTTTTTTTTTTTTTTTTTTTTTTTCTTTTTGAGACAGGGTCTTGCTATGCAGTTCAGGCTGGCCTTGAGCTCATTTTGTAGCCCAGGCTGGTCTCAGACTCGCAATGATCCTCCTGCCTTAGCCTCCTGAGTGCTGGGATTACAGGTGTGCCTCACCATGCCCAGCGAGATTTGACATTTTCCATAACAATATTTCTTTTTATACATGTTTGAAATTTTCTATAGTATCATGTCTGGGGTTTTGTATATTTTGTTTGTTTTATGAGAAACATATGAATAGCTAGCAATCTAGATAACACAGGCTGGATATTTGCTAATTTATATCTCTTTAGCAGCAGCAATCAGAGTAGCTCTCTGAATGGCTCAAGCTCAGAAAAGGACTGTAGCCTCCTGGGAGGTCTGCTGGATTTAAGAATCAGAGCTTCTCAGTTCTCTTCATTTTCTTTGTGCACCTTTGTTTAAAATTTCAAACTCAGATAAAGTTTCTTATTTCTTCTCTATAAAATCAATATTAGCCCAAGGTTGTTTTACAAACATAAACAGTGCACCATGAACACATCTTCCCTAAAAGATGCTACATAGATTTTTCTCTTCTATGAGAAAAATCATAGAGATTTACCTGGAGAACAAAAAGAGAAGATGATTAGCCAGGCATCATGGTGCACATCTGTAATCCCAGCACTCAGAAGGTTGAGGCAGGAGGATCATTGCGAGTTTGAGACCAGCCTGGGCTACAAAGTAAGCTCAAGGCCAGCCTGAACTACATAGAGAAATCCTGTCTCCAAAAGACATGAAAAAAGAGAGAGAGAGTGAAGATGGAGTGTTAAGAGTGAAAGTGTGTCCTCTCTACTGCTTTTTCAGCTTGTGATAGCACAGAATTTCTGTAACTTTCTGAGGTCTTGGACCAGCAACAAACCAGGAGATCAATTTCCTTTACAGAATAGCAAGGTAGGTGCAGTTGGAGAAGTTGCACCATCTTTGAGTGACTTGCTCACAGTTGCTTTCCTCCATTTGGGTATAGTTGTAATGTATGACTCAATAGCCAGAAGTTCCCAATACTGAACCTAGCCATCTCTGTCTCCATCTGTCATGAGTAAGATTGGTTTTAACCTTCACCTTCCTGAAGTCTTCCTCACCAGCTTCCTTAACTCTGAATCCCCCAATTCAACTGATGGGGTTTTTGTAATAGTATACATTTATATAAATAACAATATTGTAATGCAAATAAAATTTTATTCACAATCTATTCTTGTAAGAGAATTTCCAGTGGACTCCCAAAATAAGGTGTTAAGAGAAGTCCAAGGAGAGGAAGGCTTCTGTCAGGTTGAGGATGATTTTCCAAGTCTCTTTCCACGTCACCTCATTCACTCTGTGTTGATGGCTTTGCTTTCTTATCCTTCAGCAAGGTCAGGACATCATTGCTTAGCTCCCTCTAGCAAGAAGCAGTGTGATGTGTGGATCGTGAGCTTTCTCAAGCAAGTTGGACTCTATAAGGCACAGCTAGGCGCCAGGACTGAGATGGAAGAAGTAGTACCAGTGGATGACCAGGGCCAGCTCCCAAGCCCACACCAGGGCTCTCTGAGGAGGGCCGTGGCTGCTGCCCTGGCCCTGGATGGGGAATCCACCATGCATCGCAAGAAAAAGAAGAGGAAAGAGTCCCGCCCAGAATCTATTATCATTTACCGGTCTGATAATGAGAACATGGACGAGGAACCTGAGGAATCAGAAGGTGGAGATCAGCCTAAAGAGGAGGAGGGAGAAGATTTCTTAGACTATCCTATGGATGATGATGGTGAGTCTCACTAGGATCCCTTCAAAATCATAGAAAGGAAACCAAAAGAGAATCCTCCCTTCAGGAGACAGACAAGAATCTGCACACTCACCGATTTCTTTGTGATACCTTTCTTACATTGCTGCAATTCAGCAAACTAATAGTATATATTTAGCATTTATTGTGTTCTATTGTAGGTGATAGGGAGGATCTAACCCTTTTAGAACTCCTAGAGTAATCAAAGAAGCTAATTTCTACATACAAATTAGTAACATGAACAGACCATGCTAATTATTTAATGTAAAGAAACAATAACTGTTGGCTTTCATCATAGGAAAATGCAAATTATATTAACAGTGAGATATAGTATTCCTTCAAATGCAGGACTGCCAAAAACTGGATAAAATATAACATTAATGTGAGGAAATGGATGAACTCTCATGTACAAGTGGAAACAGAAGCTGCTTCAGCCACTATGTAGGGAATTTGTTAATATTTACTGAAATTCAAAATATGCATTCCTAAATCCCAGAAATCCTTAATATTCCCCCCTGGAAATTTATGCACATGTTCTGCATGTATAAGAATATTTGTTGTTCCTAGTGAAGTTGTGGAGTGTCTGTACTAAGAATTATTGTGCAGCAATGTAGAGATGAAGTAGGTCTATTTGTATAGATAGATGCATGTCTAAGACAAACTCAGTGATCCCAGCACTTGGGAGGCTGAGGCAGGAGGATCACTGTGAGTTTGAGGCCAGCCTAGGCTACAAAGTGAGCTCAAGGCCAGCCTGAACCGCATAGCAAGACCCTGTCTCAAAAAGACAAAAAACAAAAACAAAAACAAAAAACTCAGTGAACAAGCAACATATTTGCTGCAATAGACTTGATGTTCTAGTCAGGAGAAGACCAACAGTAAAGAAGTCAACAAATAAAAGATAACTTCAAGTAGTGGGATGAGTTCCAAGGACAATAATACCATGGTAATGGGAAGATGAGTAGGGTGAAGTAGTCTGTGGTCATGAAAGGCCTTTCTGAAGAGGTGAGCTGCATTGGCCATTTACACAGTGGGGTTGTTTCTGGTAGGGAGCATAGCCAACAAGGGGAAAAATGGTGACAGGATTAGAAATGGAGGTGGAGGCTGGATCATGGTGAGCTATGCAGGTCATAGTAAAGGGTTTGGAGTTTGTTATAAATGGAGGGGAAGCCAGTGGAGGACTCTATGCAGGAGAGACATGTTGTCTCATCATATTTTAGAAGGCTCACTCTGGCTCTTCTATAATGATTGGGCTGCAAAGAGAAGAGTGGAAGCTGATGCGACACTATTGTGTCAGTGTAGCTGCAGTGGCACTCATGGGGAAGCGTGGAGTAAGGTGACAACAGGGGACAGCTAGAGAAAAGAGGTGAGATTCAAAATGCAACATGGAACTTTATGAGTTGGAGGTAGGGAAGGAGAAAAAGAGAGGAATTGATAACGACTCTTTGGTCCTTGACAGGAACAATAGAGAGGACAGACAGTGGTGTTTTTTGTTGAGATGGAGTCTGGAAATGGTTAGGTTTAGGGAAAGCAGCAAACCCTCTGGTAGTCAGAGCCCCTGTCCCTGTCCTGGGTCTTGCCCTTATGGTCTCTCTTTCAGCCATGGGGCCAAAAGACTTCTAGCCACTGGGCTGGAGGTTGTTTCTGCCTAAGCCTGTAGTCTGCCATCTGGCTCCAGACCCTAGACTACATTTTACATATAAAGTGCCACATACTTCCTTCCCATAGTATCTCTACCTCCTCTTCAGGGTAGCCATAAGATGGCCGTTTGGGGCTGGGGATGTAGCTTAGTGGTAAAGTGCTTGCCTAGCATGCACAAGGGCCTGAGCTCAATCCTCAGTACCACCAAGGAAAAAAAAAAAAGAAGATGGCCATTTGGTGATGTGTATGTTTGTGGTATGAGTATGTATGTGAGGTATCTATGTGGGGTATGCATAGTATGCATGGCAGATGTGGGTATGCTATGTGGGTACATATTTGAGGTATGTGGGTACATATTTGTGGGTACATATGTATTGTGTTTATCCATGATATTTGTTATGTGTTGCATATATACATGATATGTGGTGTGAGTGTGGCGTTGGTATAGTGTATGTGGGATATGTGGGGAGTTTGTGTATGGTATGTGAGTACATTATGTGTGAGTGGTATGGGTATATATATCTGTATGTGCTGTATGTGTGGGAGGGTATAGGTGGTGTAGTGTATGTGCATTTGTGTGTAGTATGTGTGTACATTATATATGTGTGTGGTGTGGATGTGTGGGTCTACAAGGTGTGATCAAATCATGTGATGGATGTTTAAATTTTATTACAGTAAAAGACACATTGCCATTAATCACCCGCAAAGTACTCCCTGTCACTTCAGACATATATACCCTATTGTTCTTGCCACTTTCTGAACCAGTCTTCTTTTGTGTCTGTATGAGATGTGATCAAAAATGAGTGACTGCTGCTGCCAAGTGCCATGCAAGGGAGGCTCATGTAAAAATGTGACGGTGTGTCCTTACTTACCTTAGTCACCAGATTTGGCATCATGGCTCTTCCTCAAAGTCAAAATGACTGCACAAGGTAAACATTTTGAATCAATTCAGAACACCGACCCAGCTATGACAGCAGAACTAAAGACACTTATGAAAAAGAACTTCTAGAATTGCTTCAGAAAGTGGCATTCTATACTTATAGAATAAGTATATTTGAAGCAAAGGGGATTAAAATAATCCCCTGTAATAAAAAAAGTAAACATTCACCATATTTTTCAATCACACCTCATATTCTGGGTGTGGGGTGTGTATGTGTGTGTGTGTGTGTAAGAGAGAGAGAGAGAGAGAGAGAGAGAGAGAGAGAGAGATGGGTCTAGATAGTACAGTAGAGGGTATGGTATGTGGATGTGGTGTAGGGCCTGGGAGCATTAAAAAGGGGTTGGGTAAGGGATGTGGGGGGTGAATGTGTATAGAGCTTGGACATGAGGGTCGTGATGTCCACAGGCATGTGAGAAGCCTCCTTTCAGAAAAGCCATAAAATGCACACACCAGCCAAATGCACACAAATGCAATCTTTACACACAGATTGACACTCATAATGTTTTCAGCACTTGTTGACTAGCAATAGGATCATTATAAAGTAGGGTCTGTAGTAAAGTTCCTCACCTCTTTGATGTCACAGAGATTATGCCGAGTGATATCCCCCAAAATAGAGAACAAGAAAAATAAGAAAAGACTGTCTCACAGTCTTCTCAGGGCCCAGACCAGTGGAGTGAGGAGACCTATTTATTTGGTCCACCACTGAATCACTGATCCCAACCACTGCTATGCCAGATGCTATAAAAAAGGACATTTGTGCTCAGCCCCAGCCTCAGGCAATAAGAATATGCTGAAATGTTTCCTCTTCAGGTAATAAGCTCAGCTCCTTTGTGCTCTGTAGGTATGTGGAACATGCCTTTGGACAGCCGCTATGTCACGTTAACCGGGACCATCACACGAGGGAAGAAAAAGGGGCAGATGGTGGACATCCATGTCACACTGACAGAGAAGGAGCTGCAGGAACTGACCAAGCCCCATGAGTCCTCACGAGAAACAGAGCCTAAAGGAAGACAGGCCTGCCAGGTGGGAGCAGACCAGGGGCCCCATGTGGTCCTCTGGACACTGGTCTGCCTGCCTGTAGTTTTCATCCTCTCCTTTATTGTCTCTTTCTACTACGGTACTATCACTTGGTACAACATCTTCCTTGTGTACAATGAGGAAAGGACCTTCTGGCACAAGGTCTCCTGCTGCCCCTGTCTCATTCTCTTCTATCCAGTGCTCATCATGGCCATGGCTTCTTCCCTGGGCCTCTATGCTGCTGTGGTCCAGCTCTCGTGGTCCTGGGGAGCATGGTGGCAAGCTGCCCGGGACATGGAGAAAGGCTTCTGTGGGTGGCTCTGCAGCAAGCTGGGTCTAGAGGACTGTTCTCCCTACAGCATTGTGGAGCTGCTTGAATCTGACAATATCTCGGGCAATCTCTCCAACAAGGACCCCACCCAGGAAGTAGAAACCTCTACTGTCTAAACTTCCAACAACTTTTTTCCTCTGGCCTCAGTACCTATATATTTCCTGACTTCCAGCAGATTTTTTTCTTTAAATCATCCCCTACCCACTTACAGTTGTGGAAAAATGCTTGCCCATGCTGACCTGTCCTACCATGTGGATGGTTCTAAAATGGCAGGGAATAGAAAAGTACATAAATCCTGCCAAAGCAGTCCATCCAATAGACAAACTTTTTTTGATTCATGGCCCTAAAATGATCATTTACCTGTGACAGGGAGATCCACTGTATATTACTGTGGGAGTTTGGTGGTATTATTGGTAGCTCTAACTCAAGGAAGTGTGTGACCAAATATGACAGGGATAACAGAGGCTCAGGAGTGACCAAGTCCTTCAAGCAAATACATATACGTGGAGTGAAACACTGGGGAGAGGTTGTGGTGTAATAGAAAGTAAAGATTTGTATGCCTCGCTTAGATTTAGTTTGAACTGCAGAAAATTAAATCCCCCGAATATCAGTGGTTTTAAACAAGATAGGAGTTTCTTTCTTACTGGTATAGAAGTCTGGAAGCAGACTAACAGAGGGCCTTGTGAAGTCATCTGGGTCCTTGTCCTACCATTACTAGGAGGTGGCCCTTATTGCCTTTATCTTCGGTGTCCCAGTGTCGACTGCCTCTTGAGCCATCACAGCCATGTTTGTGGCAAAACAGAAGAAGGAGCAAAGAAGTGCACACCTTCCTGTTTAAGGAGGCTTCTCAGCAGTTCCCGCTCCACATTTCTTGTCTCTCATTAGCCAGAACTTAGTCACATGACCTCACAATGGAAGCAGGCTGGCAAATGGAATCTTTTTTCTGCGTAGCTATATTCTTAGCTCGCTTTTAGGCTTATGTCAAACTGAGAGAAAAGGAAAGAATGGCTATTTTGGTAGGCAAGTAGGACTCTCTGCCTTAAAATAATTATTTTAATACATCTCAAATCCCAAACAACTAATACAGTTTGTTTGAATGATTTATTTATTTATTTATTCATTCATTCTGGCCTGAATTTTCTTTTTTCTGGCCTGAATCTTATGCAGAGAATTTATATGAATATGAGCTACATGAACCATATATATGCACTATACATAGATATTAGCATCTACTGTATCATGTATTAAACTTCTGTAATGTCATGTGGTTTCTTTGGAAAGAAATAGTGGATAAGAGAATACATAACTCTTCTTCCTGGTGATGGAGGTTAAACAAGGATTGGTGATATTTCATCTAATCTACAGATTAAAGACTGGGAAAGGAAAACAGGGGTTGCATCTGACAAGTACACCCCCATTAGGTATCAGCAGCTCTAAACATGAACAAGCCAGATTTAGCTTTCTGTCATTTAGCAAAACCTCACTCAGAGCCTTACTCACTCAGACCTTTTTAGTGTAACAAAAAAATGGTCCTCCTGTCTCGTGGGTATTCACCTGAATAATTCAGATTAAAAGATTCTGATTTTTAAAAATTCCTAAGAATGTCCTAATTTCAAAATGTCAAACCCTAAGGGGACAGCAGATTTTGGAGTCTTCCTTACACGAAAAGCTGGTGCTTATTACTGTTCATGCCTCAGAAAAAAGCTGTTGAAAAGAACTGCTGTGAATCAAACCAGAGGGGTCGTTGGCCATGTCCTTGCAGAAAACCAGGGACATTTGTTTAATGTATGGTGCTCTACCCCACCTTCAGAGGAAACATATTTTTAAATTAACTGTTATTAGTTTGACCAGAGTGGGGAAAATGTGCCCAGCATTTTTGTAGATAACTTTGGTGCTTTCTGGTACAATTGCAGAGATATGAAAATTGAAATGAAGACAAAGAAAATAAAAAAATCTAATTAACATTTGTTTGCTTTGTCATTGAGGCTCTCCAAACTAGTTTGGAATACTACAGTTTGTAGAAAAAGGGTAAGCTTGGTGGCTGTTCTGTATGTAATTAACGTGTAATAATGTTAATGTGGATCCTTAAGTCTTGATTCTTTCTATGCACCACTAAGTTTTGGGAGTTCTATTTTAGCTGAACTGTGTCACATTTTTCCACGTGTCACATTTTTACCTAAGCACACATTAAAAATATCACAGTCACATTTGTCACATTTTTCTGTCATATTGGATCGGGAAAACAATAGTCAAAGACAACAGTCATGTTAGAAGAAGGGGAAGTGGACATAGTGGAATCGAGGTATGGGAGTGTGGGTGAAACCATGCCCAAAGGATATCCAGATGAAGTTAGCATAGTCTTTGTCATAATTGGACTCATCACATAATGGAAGAGAGAGGTTTATAAACTAAAATCATTTTACAAGGACTCTAGAGAGGTGTTTTATTCGTAGACTGGAGGAAAAAAACTGAGCCCATGGCTGGGTGTGGTGGCACATGCCTGTAATCCCAGCACTCAGGAGGCTGAGGTGGGAGGATTGCCGTGAATTTGAGGTCAACTTTGGCTGCATAAGTAAGTTCAAGGTCCACCTATACTACGTAGGGAGACCCTGTCTCAAAAACAACAACAACAACAACAACAAAGACTGAGCCCAGTATAATTGGAGCACTCTAATCTTTGCCCTCAGTAAACACCTACAGAACATTAGAGAAAAAGTTGAAGAGTTAGATACCATATTTGAATAATTCTGTTAATTCATTGTTAATCTTCATGGAAATATTGAGGAGGAGGAGGAGGATATTTTTAATTGCTTAACAGGCATAATATGCTGAGCTGGATAAATGACATCTGACCCAGTATGGTGATACTAACACTTCAAAGTCATTTTGTCTTTTGGCATTAGGTAACCAATTCAATTCATGGCTGAGCGGGACTCTCAAAGTAATATCAAATTAAAACATATTCCAGCAACTAAGAGAACACATAGTCTACAATATAGCAATAGTTAAAAAAAAAATCCCTCTGTTGTCTCACCTAAAATATTGTAACACCTAAAATATAATGGCTTAAAATAACCAGAATCATTGGATTTCTCTGCTCATAATTCTGCAATTTGGGCAGAGGCCAGTGGAGATAACAGTCTCTACTCAGTGTTTCTTTTTTTTTTTTTGGTACCAGGAATTGAACTCAGGACTTTGTGCCACTGAGCTATCTCCCCAGCCCTCTGCTCAGTGTTTCTAATACTGGGATGGTTTCCTAAGGGCTAGAGTATACACTGTACTCCCTAGACCAATGATGGAGAACCTTTTAGAGCTTTCAGTGATAACAGACAGCCCACGGTGGCATGCATGCCATAGGTTCGCCACTATTGCCCTGACAGTCTTATTGGAATGGCTGCCAGGTATGTCTTCGGTGCTATGTGGGTGCAACCCTGCAGCTATTGGTGCTCAATGATTGCATTGGACTGCTCAAATTGCCATAAAACACTATAGACTAGGTAAGAAAAATTTATTTTCTCATAATTCTAGAGGCTGGAAGTCTAAGATCATGGTAGCAGCCTAATTAGTTTCTGGTGAGAGCTATCCCTTTGGGTCGCAGTTGGCTGCCTTTTTGCTAATGCTCATATGACCTCTTTTTATTTGATTGAAGGAAGTGGTAGGGGAGAGTAAGCACATAAGTATGAGTGAAAATTCTCAAGTATCTTCCTTTATAAGATGAAAGTACCACTATAAAGGTCTCTATTCTTGTGCTTCATCCAATTCTAATCACCTCACAAGGGCCCCAGCTTCAAATACCATCACATCGGGGGTTAGGGCTTCAACAAATGAATTTCAGGGAGATACAAACATTCAGTCCATAATAATGTCCCTCTATGTAGCTTTGTTATGCTTTCATAATATGACAGTCCTATAGCAGTTGGTCTTTATATGTGATGTCTGTGTTCATCAGAGTGCTAAAGCTGTATCTGTCAGGTTTTCTGAAACTGTTGGCTCAGAGGTGACTCAGTATCATGTCTGCCATATATATTACTAGTTACAGCAGGCCATGAAGCTAGTCATATTCAAGAGGAAGGGACTATGTCAGGGTGTAAATGCTGGGAGGCTTGGCTCATGGGGTCTACTGAGATAACACTCTATCATTTCCCTTTCAAATCCTATCCCTTTCCTTCCTATGTCACAGCGGCTCCCATGTATCTCTCTTTTCAACACTTACCATACACACCATCACTACCGCTAGCCATAGCCCATTGATAGCTCATGTACCTCTTTACAATTTTGTACCTATAAATCCAAAAGACTTCACAGGTAGAAATGAAACCAACAAAATCAGAATCCTTTTGCTGTGGAGGAGGGACGGAGTAGCTATATAAGATGTCAGATTGATGTTTGTCCCATTCATCCTTGAATAATGGAGACTTGTTGCCAGGAAAAGCAGTGTTTAAAATCCATATCCATTCCCAACACAATGGCTGCCTAACTGCCTGGAAGTGGTTGGTTCTAAAGAGTTGTATAAAGACAGCTGAGAGGCACACAAACCCAGCTACTAGAAACTGTTATTTCTCCCAGAGCATAAAGTTAAATCCAGGTATTGGGGAGAGAGAGGGAGAGAGAGAGAGAGAGACAGAGAGAGAGACAGAGAGAGAGAGACAGAGAGAGAGAGAGAGAGAGAGAGACAGAGAGAGAGAGAGAGAGAGAGAGAGAGAGAGAGAGAGAGAAAGAGAGGGAGAGAGAGACAGGGAGGGGGAAGGAGAAAGGAGGAGGGGAGTTAGAAGAGGAAGAGGAAAAAGAAAAGCAAGAGACTATACACGAGATGAAATCATGGACGTAAAATATATTTCCTTTATTGCAGTCAATCCAGTAATTCCTTTTACCAACTATAATAGAACTAGGAAAAAAAATAGCATGTCAGTTTTGAGAGAACCCCCCCTTTTTTTTTTTTTGAGAGAACTCTTGTGTTTGAATAAAAAAATTGGAAGAACTCTTGTGCTGTGAGAGCACAGTCTGAAAGTATCTCTCCTTTTTTTGGTTTTTTGTTTGCTTGGTTTCTGTCTTTTTTGAGACAGGGTCTCGCTAGGCAGTTCAGGCTGGCCCTGAGCTCACTTTGTAGCGCAGGCTGGTCTCAAACTTGCAATGATCCTCCTGCCTCAGCCCCCGGAGTGCTGGGGTTACAACCGTGTGCCACCACGCCAGGCTGAAAGTATCTCTCTGGGGTTTCATATATTTGCTGTATAACTTTGGCTCCCTCAAGGCCCCTCTCTTCATGGACTCTCCACATTTTTTCAGCATTACTTCCTGCTTTCCTAGGGTCCAGTTTTCAAGAAGGAGAACATCTGGGTTTTATTCTGTCAGATTGGGTCAAGACCTATGGACACTTTGCAGCAGAGGCTGCTGCATTCCTCCAGGTGTTCACATGCATTTTCTTGGCACAGTAGAATGCCCTTCCTACTTGTTTGCTTGGAAACTCTTCTCTTTGGGAGCTGGTGTTAAGGTCATCGTATCTGTAAAGGTTTCCACTAATACCTTTTGTAGAACAGACCAGTAAAGGAGACAAGTGGTCCTCCGGGTTTATACTCAAGGAAGTCTAGATACTAACACCCAAAGCAGAAGGGGTTATTGTTTTTTTTTTTTTGTTTTGGTTTTTTTTTTTGGTTTTTCTCCGGTACCGGGAACCGAACTCACGACCTTGCGCTTGGCAGGCAGGCGCTTTTGCCGCTGAGCTAAATCCCCAGCCCCCTAAATCCCCAGCCCCCAGAAGGGGTTATTGTTAATAACAGCAAAGAGAAGTCCAGCTTTCGGAAAAGTGATTAGTACTAATCTAGTACTACAGTTTCATAAACTGTAACACTACGAGGTTCTCACCAGGGTGGAATGGAGAGAATCCGCGCCTGCTCAGAGCTCTGGGCACTGTTTCCCCACCCCTGGCAGGTCCAGCCGGAAGCCGCTCTTCTCTTCCGGATACGCGCGTGAGTCCGCCGGAACTGAGTTGCGTGCGCACTGCAGGTTCCCGCCGGGAAGACGCAGCTAAAGCGCCAGCGGCCGGCAACATGGCGCGATCCGGAAATAAGGTAGTGAGAACCGTGTTCTTAGGTCTTACGCATGCTGGGATCTGGAGAGGGTGATTCCGTCGCAGGAATTGTGGGATGACAGCTATGCCAAGTAGTGAGGCGAGAGGGAAGATCACAGTAGTGGGTTGGATCCGGATGGCTGGGACTAAGGACCCATTAGAAAAGCTGGGAATTTGCAGTCGAGAATTTGAATCCTGCTCACCAGGCACCCTTCGCATTTCCTTTTCCCTTCTTCCCTCCCCACCCACCTCTCCTTTATATCCCTGAATCCCACTCCGCTCCCAAACCCACTTCCTCTGTTGCTTCTAAGCCCAGAAGCTTGTTCTAAAACGTCAGGGAGGGATTTTGTGACCAAAATAACTTGAAATGTAAAGCATCACATTACTACCTCTATAATAATTTAATATTTTGAATTTATTGAAAGCTTGCTCTGTTTGAAGCACAGATCTAAATTTTTTTGTTACTATCCTGGTGAGGTGTATATTGTCTCCAAGTTTGCAAATAGGAAGACTGAGGGAGGCATGGAGAATCACCCAGTCCTTAAGTGGTGGAATCCGGATTTGATCCCAAGGTGTTTTGTTTTCCAAGCCTTGGAGAAATCTCAGTGTTAAGAATCTATGACCCTTGGTGTCTCAGATTAATAACGAATTACAATGAATTAAAAAAAAATTTTGGTCACTAGATGGAGGTATGATTCCGGCGATTCATTCATCTATTCATTGAATTATTCTTACTCGGTCAACACAGATAAACAGGATAGAAGTTTGAACGGCAGATCGCAAGTCCTTTTAGCTCCCTGTTGGAAAATGCTGATTGAAGTTACAAACTCATAATGATTCTGCTCACCTCCTTTTTTTTTTTATTATTTTTTTTGAGGCAGGGTCTCGCTATGCAGTTCAGGCTGGCCTTGAGCTCACTTTGTAGTTAGGCTGGTCTCGAACTCGTAGCAATCCTCCTGCCTCAGCCTCCTGAGAGGTGGGATTACAGGTGTGCACCTCCATGCCTGGCCTTACCTCCTCTGTTCGTTCTTTCTTTCTTTCTTTTTTTCTTTCTTTCTTTTTTTTTTTTCTTGGTACTGGGAATCAAACTCAGGGCGTTGTGCTTGCCAAGAGCAGGCGTTTGTGCCGCTAGCTACGTCCGGGGCCCTCTCCTTTGTTCTTGTTTCCACTGAAAAGTTTGTAACTCCTATGGAGGAGCTCTTTGTGGCAGATGAACTTGGAGTACAATCCTAACAGCCTGTGTTGGTTCAGTGTGGAAATGAAGAGTTGCTGCCCTGTTTTTCTTTCCCGGTTTTTTTACTGTGTTCAGAAAGGAACTCAAAGTACTATATTATCATTCTTCCAAACAAGAAGTTCCATATTGTGAATACACTTGCTTCTCTCCTGTACTGAAATTGAACCCTTTGCACTGAGCTGCGTACATCCCTAGCCTTAATAATTTTTTAAAAGTTTGACCCAGGCTCTTACTAAGTCACTCAGGCTGGGCTTGAACTTGTGGTCCTCCTGGCTCATTCTACCAGAGTACTGGAATTACAGGCACGCACCACCATGCTGGGCTGTGAAACTCTTATGCCATTTTCCGGATACCTGATTCCTGGCATAAGATTTTTAGACCTCAAGTTTTCTGGTGTAAAAGTACGTTTTGTGAACATGTATTAAATAAATTCAGCAATATACTTTCTGCCATGGCCAGAATGATCATTTTTTTTTTTCCCCCCTCTGGTACCAGGAACCGAACTCACGAGCTTGCGCTTGCCAGGCAGGCGCTTTTGCCGCTGAGCTAAATCCCCAGCCCCAATATACTTTCTGATGCTTAACTTTTTATGCTTGGGGCATTGATACTAAAGAATGTAAATTTCATTGCTGTCAAAGGAATTTTGTAGTTTTTTTACTACTTTTTTCATATAAGCTTATCTTTACTCCAGAAATTCATTAATATTAGTGTATTATTTCCAATTCCTTATAAGCTAGGTGAAGACGGTTTCCTTTGCAACAGTGTTGCAAAAGGTATAACTAAATTTGGAAATCATGTATAACTTCCCCTGACAGAATCTCATCTAGGCTTTTCACACACTTCTAGTGTCAGGTGCTCACTGCTTTAAGAAAGTGATTCCTTTATTTATTGCTTCTAAATGCCCCCCTTCCCCATATGAAGTCAAATGAATCTCATTGTAACTTCCATCTATTGAACATATTACTTTCCAGCAGTCCTTTTATAATACAGCTGTCAAATATTTAGTTGAGACCTATCAGATTCCTCTTAATCTTCATATCTGGATCAACTACTTATTTTTTTCCATGTGTTTTTTATATCACATAGTCTCCACACCCTTCCCAAACCCAATCATATTCAGTTGTAATTAATCTTACTCTTGTGATACTCGGAATTGCACACCATTTAATCAGCATAAAGCACAAGTAAGACTGCAACTCCTGGGTCAAGGAATGTTAACTCTGAAAATAAATGTAAATCTCCTCTAGTCTAAGAGTTTCCTGCCTCCTTGAATTAAGATTAAGGTTAAGTACATTAGCAAGGATTTGGAGATTAATTAGTAGAGATGGGACTAGAACCCATTTCTCAGTATCACTATCACTAACCTAGTCTTTTTTTTTTTTTTTTTTTTTAACAAAACCCTTCTTTTCTTGAATTTACTATACTATTGATACAACCTGAAATATTTGAGGGAATGCAGTGAGATAGCTGTGGGGAATGTAATACTGAAGCCATATTATATTTACTCATTTTATAATCCACTCTGAAATGATAAGTTGTTATAAGTTCAGCATTATAAGTTGCTATTAGTGGGGCTGGGGATTTAGCTCAGTGGCACAGCGCCTGCCTGGTAAGCACAAGGTCGTGAGTTTGATTCCTGGTATCGGAAAAACAACAACAACAAGAAAAAAAGTTGCTATTAGTTCAAATCTCCTGCACCTTGTAGTCAGTTAAATTTTGGATGCCATACATAAGAGTATTAGAACTGCATTTGTATCCCTTTTACTTTTAGTTTGTGTCCCTTATTTCATTAGTCTCCTATATTTGTGATTACTGTCTTATGAGTGGTGCCTTCACTTCTGAGGTTCCCTCTGTAACTTCTTTGTTCACATGATTGACTCATACTCATTCTTTAAGGATCGGATCTTTCTAAGCATTAGATGCAAGAAGCATTTTCTACCTTACCCCTCTTTTGTCCCCCCTACCAGTCTTGGGTAGATGTTTCTCTGGTGTCTCATAGTGCCTATTGCAAACTTGTCATGTAATATTGTGCTGGCATTATTTGTTATGTGTCTATTAGAATAGGTTTAGTGTCTCAGTTTTTATTTCAGTCCCCAGTTTACAAACTGCTTCAAATTGTTGTTGTATAGCATCTTAACATATAGAGATTGAAGTAGTAACCTGTTGCCACAAAAATGCTTCATGACGGACCACACCCTACTGTATTTGGTGACTTACAACCAGAGTGTCTACTGTCATGCTGGTAGGTCTGCAGTTCATCTTGTGTGTTGGTTCAGTGGGACTGGAGTTAGCTATAGCTTGCTGGTTCATTTCAGGTCTACTCACTTCAGGCCCATTCTGAAACTCAGGTGAAGAAATGCCAATTGCCTGGAGCGTGTTCCTCTCCTGGTGGGTACTTACTTTTTACAGAGTATCAGAACTATTTAAGCCTTCTCCAAAGTGAAACTTTGTGACTTGCATACATGCTCTGTATAGAACATAGTTTCTCCCTTTATCATGCCTTCCTTAAATCCCAGTACAGGTTCTGTGAGTGCAGTAAGCAAGGGGTATATTTCAGAATCTTTTTTTTTTTTTTTAATGATTGTTATTTTCTCATATACTTTGGGATTTTGTGTCTAGGCAGCCGTTGTGCTGTGTATGGATGTGGGCTTTGCCATGAGTAACTCCTTTCCTGGTGAAGAATCCCCATTTGAACAAGCAAAGAAGGTGATGACCATGTTTGTCCAGCGACAGGTAAGTTTCAGATTGACCTTCATTTTGGAACCTATGTTTTAACTCCTTGTTCTTTCCACCTGCTAATGAAATATACCAACCTGCTTATAATGTCTACACTTACTGTTTTGGGAAATCTGGGGGAGTTTCTTACATGTATTCCCATAAAAGCCCACTTACCACTAGAGTATGATATACTCCCCCCATTGGCCCCTTCACTGCATATTACAGTTTTTAATCAGAAATGAGAGGCTGTATAAAATAATGTTTAATAACAGAGTCTCTGGAGCTAGCTGGGTGTGAATATTTGCTCTGCATGTCATTTCTAACCCCATGGTCTTGGGCAAGTCCTTCCACTTCTTCATACCTAGTCCAGTTTTTTATATATATATACTTTTGGGTACTGAGGGTTGGACCCAGGGCTTCACACTGATATGGCAAGCAAGTTCAACAAGAAAGGCACTCACAAGAAAACCAAAAAGGCAGGAATGAACAAAGCTTTATTAAGCTGGCTGACAGACAGTCTCTAACCAGGAGCCAGAGAAAATGTCTGTCTCCATCTGTGTCGCACCTTCCGTTTAAGTACATTTGAGGTTTCCATAGTAAACATTACCTCATTTTTGGGACTCTTACAAGAATGTCACACAATTATCACAAAGTTTGCTTCTCCCAAAAGATCAGACAGTTGAATTCCAAATGACTATTGCAGTTTAACTTTTAGCCCACTTCCCAATTTGTCCTGATTGTTCTGTTCCCATTTTATGACTGCTCTGCTCTGAGTTGATAACTAACCAAGGTGACTGGGGTGAACTATAGTTTAAGTGAATTTGAAGTGACTTCTCTTAATATGCAGTGAAAAACAGAAAATGGAGTCTCTCTTGCCCTATCAACACATGCTAGGCAAGTATTGTATGACGAAGTTATATCCTCAGCTCTGTCTTTTGCTGTATAACAAATTACCCCAAAACTTAGCATCATAAATGACATTTTAAAAAAGATCATCATTTGTGGTTCTGTGGGAAGACTAGATGGGCTGGGTTGAGTGATTCTCTTGAGGCCTCTCTTACACAATTGCTTTCAGATAGCGGCAGGGGCTGGAGTCATCTGAAGGCTTGGGCTGACTGTCCAAGACAGCGCACTCCCATGGCCAGGAGACACCTGATGGCAGCTGTGAACTCAGTTGAGGCTGATTCATTAGAACCCCTACATGTAGCCTCTTTTTTTTTTAGGTACTGGGAATCAAACTTGGGACCTTGTGCTTGCCAGGCAGGCACTTGTGCCACTGAGCCGTAACCCCAGCCCCTCTATGCAGCCTCTTTATGTAGCTTGGGATTCACATAGTGTGACAGCTGGCTCTGAGAGAAAATGTCCCAACAATGAGTACCCATTTTAAGAGACCTTGCCTATGTGGCTCCTTAGGTCCTAGCTTTAGAAATCTCAGAAAGCCATTTCTATTGTTTTCTATTAGTTAAACGCATCACTAAGGCCAGCTTACATTTAAGGGTGAAGAATTAGAGTCCCCTTCTTTTAAGGAGAAGTTTGAAGGTACTAGAGGAGGAATAGATGGTGGCTATCTTGGAGACATCTGCCACAGTGCCTCAGTAGCTTGTGTGTAAAGTAAGGAAAATAACAAAATCTCTTACATAGAGTTGTTTTGAGGAATAAAAATTAATGTAGATAAAATGGTTAAAATAGTACTTGGCATATTGTAAACATCATGAAATTGTTATCTGTTGTTATTTCTTCCACTTTTTTTTTTTGGTCTTTTTGAGATAAGGTCTCGCTATGCAGTGGCTGGCCCTGAGCTCACTTTGTAGCTCAGGCTGGTCTCAAACTTGGAATGATCCTCCTGCCTCAGCTTCGCGAGTTCTAGGATTACAGACTTGCACCACCATGCCCAGCTCCTTCTTCCGCTTTTACTTGGTGTGATTGTTACTTCTTCTAAGTCCATAAGGTCCTGCTTCTATGCGTGGTGCTATAGCTCCTTGTGGACACCTCTGCTATTTTTCTGAGTATTGCTCCTTCCTTAGGGCATTCCTGCTTCTTACCGGTTCCAGATTTTTATAAATTCTGATGACTTGGAGTCCTTGAGGTGTCAAAGAAGAGAGTGCTGTAATCCCCACCCTGGAGTAAAGATGTGTTGGATAGTTTTTTTTTGTGTTTGTGCTGGGGATTGAACTCAGTATCTCATGCATCCCAACATAACAAGCATCCGAACTACATAGTGAATTCAGGACCAGTCTGTACTATACAGCGAGTCTCAAAAAAAACTTAAAAAAGAAAAAAAGAATTTCCTTCTCTCCCATGACTGAGATTTTTGTCATGGGGACATGATTACCTTTCCTGAAGATGAATTCTTATCCTGGAGGCAGTACCTGCACAGGCAGTATTAGACAATTTTTTTTTTTTTTTTTTTTTTGTTTTTTGGTTTTTCTCCGGTACTAGGAACCGAACTCACGACCTTGCACTCGCCAGGCAGGCGCTTTTGCCGCTGAGCTAAATCCCCAGCCCCTAGTATTAGACAATTTTAAACTCTAGTAGCAGGGACCTTCACTCCAGGTATAACTGGGAACTGGAGTGGGAGGAGCTCTGGGGGAATTTAACTGACTAAACAAAAATGAAGAATGGCAGAATTCCATTCTCTCCCGATAGAGCACTTTTACCCATCAATATGAAAGGCCTACATTGGAAGTACCTTGTATGGTAGATAAATGTGAAGCTCTTTTCATCGTTCTCCCCCCTCTTCTCTCCCTTACCTTAGCACTTTGGTTGTTATTATCATGCATGTTTTATGCCATTGGATATAAGTATGTATTCATAAATAACATTTAGTATTGTATGAAGCTGTCAAAAGCATGTGGAAATGGTTTTATGTGCAACATGTAATTCTTCAGCTTATTTTTCTCAGCGTTATGCTTTTGAGATTTATTCATGTTCATAAGTGTACAAATTTATTTGTTTTTACAGAGATGCAATATTCCACTGTACAAATATTCTGCAGTGTATTTTTGCATTCTCCTGTTGATGGATATTTTCTTGCAGTTTTTGCGCCTGTTGTTTTCTTGTGTACATGTGCAAGACTTTCTTGCCTGTTGTTTTCTTGTGTACATGTGCAAGCATTTTTCTAGCGTATGTATTTCTATCTGTGGAATTACTGAGGTACAGGATGTGAGTGTATAAGTTTTTTTTTTAAGCTCTGAAAAATTTTAACTTTGAATAGACATTCCAGAAAGACAATACTTTTTCAAATTATGCATGATGGTTTTCGAGAAGAAGTTAGATTCTGATTTGGCTGGAAAGCGTAAGAGCACTTAGTACCTTTTCATTCCTTCACTCTAACTTGTGCTGAAATGAAGGGTGGGACTTACCATCAGAAAAGGTCTGCTAAGAACCTAGGGATTGGCATTGTCAGTAAGTCCCATGTTTTTTTTTTTTTTTTTGAGACAGAATCTTTCTATGTAGTTCAGGCCGATCTTGAAGTCACTGTATAGCCCAGGCTAGCCTCAAACTTGTGGTGATCCTCCTGCCTCTGCCTCCTGAATGCTAGGATTACAGGTGGTGCCACCATACCCCCAGCTAAGTCCCTTGTTTTATCAAGCCGAATATTTTATGGCTCCAGAGACTTGCCATGGAGAAGTATGGTTGTCTTGCTGCCCACAGGTTAGGTATCTTACAGCTTCCATGTTCTAATGTCATCTTCAGTCTTCTGACGTTCTTCTGTAGGTGTTTGCAGAGAGCAAGGATGAGATTGCTTTAGTCCTGTTTGGTACAGACAGCACCAACAATGCCCTTGCTGCTGAGGACCAGTACAAGAATATCACCGTGCACAGGCACCTGATGCTGCCTGATTTTGATTTGCTGGAGGACATTGAAAGCAGAATCCAACCAGGTTCTCAGCAAGCTGACTGTATCCTTTTTCAGCCATAGATTTAAGAATTTCTTTTACTCTGGGGAGTCGTAATCTAGTTTGATAGGGCTCTCTCAGAGTACCAGTTCTGGGTATCTGGGGATGTTTTACTCTGAGGACAGAGAGGTGATATGTGTTACAATTTATTTATTTTTATTTTTATTTTTATTTTTTTCCAGTACCAGGAATCGAACTCACAACCTTGCACTTGCCAGGCAGGCGCTTGCTGTGCCACTGAGCTAAATCCCCAACCCCATGTGTTATGATTTAATGTGAAGTTAATCAGGTTGGGTGCCCGGGCTCTGGGTCTTTCAGTCACTGTTGCTTTTATGTATTCATGACATTACGAGTTGGGAGACATAGGAAGGGTAAGATACTAGGGTGTCTCTGTGGCATTGACTGTAGCAGGTTAAAAATGTTTGGAGGCAGAGAAAAGATATTTTTAGAAGACTGTAGTGTAATTATTCCCCACCCTGCCCTGGATAGAACTTTTTTTTGTGCCAAAAATCAGATTGATATTCAAACTGAGAAATTCCCAATTTCTTTTGTGGTGTCCCTGATTTTGTTTTTCCAGTTAGTAGTTCCATTCTTGAGCACTGGGAGGTGCTGTTGTGCTGGGAGTTACTTCCAAATGCTGCGTTATGGCTCACTGCCTACTTAAGAATGGACTATGATCACCAAAAATGTGTTGTAGAGACTAACAAATGGCATCAAAAGTTTTGGTTAAATGACTGTAATGTGTTAGAGTACCTTTTATTTTTATTTTTAAAAACATTTGTGTGTGTCAGGGTGCATGCTTTGATATATAGCATTTGTGAATATATGTTAATGAAATTAGAGGATACTTAGCAAGAGCTTTTAAATCATTGCCTATTCCAGTGTCTACAGTTTCCAGCACTGTGAACTTTGTTGGGGAAAGTTACATGTTCGTGGGATAAAGTGACTGGTGCTGTCTCTTCCCTTAACTAGCTCAGTTCTGGATGCACTGATCGTGTGCATGGATGTGATTCAGCGTGAAACTGTGTAAGTGTCTCATCTGGAAAAAAACAGAAATCAGCCTTTCTGCAAAAACTGTGGATTGATGCATTCAATGTACTATGTGATTTTTTTTTTTTTGTCAGTCAGGTTGCATGTTTGTGTGGCTAAAAGAACATCTGATAGAATTCAGTGGTTCAGCCTCCTTACTTTTTAAAGTTTTAAAAAGAGGAAGGCTATATTTGGAGAGAGTTTCTCTGGGAGAAGTAAATGTTTGGCATATTTCAGTTTCCTTCTTTCTTAAGTTAAGTATCAGTAATATTTTAACATACTAAGTGGGGACTAGGTGTGTAGCTCAGTGGTAGAGCACTTGCATAGCAGGCATGAGGCTTGGGTTTGATCCCCAGCAGTGTAGAAATGAAAATAAAATAATAGAAGTAAAGTTAAATTAAAAATACTAAGTGATATGATCCATAAGTATTTGATATGAACTGCATAGTACTGTGGCCAACTGCCTAGTCCATTATTTAATTATTGTGCCATGAAAATGTATGCCTTTGAGCATATACATACACACATACTGCTCAGTAATCAAGTGTGTTTGATTCTTAGAAGACATTTCAGGACAGTGGTTTTTTCTTTTGGTGGTACTGAGGATTAAATAGTGCAGGGCCCACACACTGAGTATATCTCCAGCCTTTTTAAACATTTTTAATTTGAGACAGAGTCTCACTAAGTTGCTCAGACTGGGCTTGAATTTGCAGTCCTGCCTCAGCTTCTCAGATTGCTAAGATTACAGGTGTGTGTTACACCTGGCTTTAGGCGAATGTCTTCTTAACATGCTAATTCTCTCTTTTAGGGGAAAGAAGTTTGAGAAGAGGCATATTGAAGTGTTCACTGACCTCAGCAGCCCATTCAGCAAAGATCAGCTGGATGTTATAATTCATAATTTAAAGAAATCTAACATCTCCCTGCAATTCTTGTAAGATCATACAAATGATATATATAAACAAATCCTGTTATCCTTACTGCAATGAGTGGACCCTTTTATAGAGTGCTTGGTTCTTTCTACTGAATCAGAATCTGTCACATGACTGACTACTGATTTACTGACTATTCTTTGTATTCTAGAAACTCTTCTGAGTTTTGGTAATAAGGAGATAAAAGTCAGAGATACACAAAACTGAGCTCAGTTGCAGATCATTTCTTTGTGTGCTGTTTTTTAAACTCAAAAATTGAGGAATTAGAAGAGTCTTTGAGGATATTTAATTTCTCTCCTGCCTACATAGAAGGCTTTACTCAACTATCAGATTGGTTGTTTGTTTTCGTAAACAGCTCAGGGAACTGTCCTGCAGACAGTAGATGCTTACAGGTAGACAAAAATGTCAACTTGGGAATCATTTTATAATGTCTGATATTTACATTTAACACTTTTCTAAGATTTAAAGGATGCAGTAACATATATAAAATGTAATTTGCTTATGTTTATTTAGAGACGGTATATAAATTTAGGGGAAAATGTATATTTCATAGTTTACTAGAGGTGTCCTTCCTCCCCTAATATCTTGAATTTTCCCTCCAATATTTACTTTTCTCTATCTTTCACCTCTAGCAGAAAATTCTTTTCACTATACTAATCCTTCCTGCTGCATTTAAAACTTTTTTTTGTCCTATTTTTAGTGAAGGCAAAGTGATGGTATAGGATGTTGAATTATTAATCTGGGGACACTTCATTTTTCATGTTGAGAGCTATACCAAGAAGTCTGTAACTCAGAGTGGTAAGCCTTTGGCTTTTTAAAACGCCTGCTAGGAGGAATTAAGAATCTCTTTTGCATGTACGTGCCCCTTACGACTGCTGAGGGACAGCTCCTTTCTGTAGAACTGTAGAAAGAGTACAGAATAACCCATCAAACTGGCACTTGTTAAAATGGTACTTCAGAGAAATTAAGAGCTTTTTAAGTGACACTTCTTATGGAGTTGAGGTTTTCTCAGTACTTCAGAAGCCTGACTCAGCTTCTGTTCCCTGTTCATGATCTCAGGATGGCTTCACGTGGTTGAAGCGGACTAAACTGAGCTGTCAGTGTCATTTGAAAGGGCTGATCCTTTTTTTTTGTCGTTTTGAGACAGGGTCTCACTATGCAGTTCAGACCAACCTTGATCTCACTTTGTAGCCCATGCTGGTTTTGAACTTGAAACAATCCTCCTGCCTCAGCCTCCCAAGTGCTGGGATTGCGGGTGTGTGCCACCACACCTGGCTTTTTTTTTTTTTTTTTTAGTGAGTAAGTATGCAGAAAAGGGAACATAGCCTTTTCTTCTTGCTTGTTATCTGACTGGTTTTATTTTTTTCTTTGGTCATATATTTTCTTCCTGTGCCATAAACTGCGTACAGAGTTTATGCTTTTATTGTTAAGCATATTCCAAGTATGATTGAGTGTTCAGGTTGGATTAAAGCAAAGACTAGCAGCATAAAAAAACACTGTATTCTGAGCAGGCTTGTTCCTTAGATTTGATTTTTTAATTTACTGAGTTCTGAGAAAACTTTCTTGTAGTCAAGTGCAGCATAGAAAGAACTGCTTTTGTCAATTCTGTTTTAGGGATAAACTTTCTCTTTTTTTTGTCTTTGAGACAGGGCCTTGCTATGCATTTCAGGTTGGTTTTGAACTCGCTTTGTAGCACAGACTGGCCTCAAATTTGCAGTGATAGTGCTGGGATTACAGGCATGTGCCACCACACCTGGCTGGGGATAAACCTCCTGGTTGTTCATTTTCATGTCATCTATCCTTTCTTCCTGGTTAATGCTGTGGAAGTAGCAATAACCTAAGGCCAACCCTCTGTGCTACACTTTGCTTCTTGGAAGCTTTTTTATGCAGGATACACATATCTGTCATATTGAGTATATGCAGTAAAAAATTTAGACAGAAAGCCCTATCTTAAGTATAGCAAAAAAAGGATAGAGAAATTGCCTTAACAATATCCATCCACATTGGAGTGATCAGAAATAATGTTGATGAAAGATTACTAGGTACAGCTGTTTAAGTTTCCAGGGATAGATTAAGGTGCTGTGCGACCATGGGAAGAGCCTGCCCTTTCAGTCAGGTGACTGAATCTTTGCTCCATTACTTACAAGTTGTGTGGCTTTGGCTAAATTATTTCATCTCAGTAACTTCTGTTTCTTTAGAAAATGGAGATAGAAACTTCTGTCCACCTAATATATAAGGGTTAAATGAGATTGTTTATGTGGAAGCTTGTATAAGTACCATTTAGAATATTGCATAAAATATATTTGCGTAGTTTGTTTTTCAGTTTGTATATTCATTATTGAACATTTTTATAACTGGCGATCCCAACCTAGCTTTAGTCTCATTTCAGTCAAACAACTGCTGTGAAACACAACAACAAAATTAGATTTTATTTATGTCTATCAATTTTCTGACTTTTGTATAGGACTCTATGTCTACAATAATATTTGAGTTTAAAGTATTTCATACATAGTCTGTTGTTTAATCCTTGTAATAACTTTAAGGGGTAATTTGTGACTTTTTTGGAGTGGGGGCATCTGCCTGGAATATCACCTAACTTTTTTGTAGGAAGCATTCTTTTCAGAACTTTAATCTCTTAGATTGAATGAGGCTGAGGACAGGCTGGTCCTCAGCCTGTCATTGATTCCTAGTTTTATTTGAATTTGAGGACAGAGGATTAAATACTGAGTCCCTCTTAGGTTGTAGAATTAAGCAATGTGAACTTGTCTTAGTCCATCACTGTTTCTATAATAAAATACCTTTGACTGGGTAATTTATGAACAAAGGAAATGTATTTCTTACAGTTCTGGAGCTGGGAAGTCCAGGATCACAGTGCCAAAGCAGACTAGGTTTCTGGTGGGGTATCTTGGCTTGCAAGATGCTGCCTGTTGCTGTGTCCCCAGAAGGCAGAAGGGCAGAAGGGTTCTCTCTTCAGCCTCTCTTGTAAGGCTGCTATTCTAAATTTTGAGACTCTACTGTCATGATTTAATCATCTCCCAAAGGTCCTGCCTTATAGTATCACATTAATGATTAACTTCTAAGCTATGCACTTTGGGGGCACACATTCAGACCATAGCACAGCTTGAGTGTATTCAGAGGCGATAGGGAAGAGACCATTCTGAAAGTGAAGCCAGTATGTGGACAAATGAAGACACAGTGCTCAGAGATAGTGAAAGGGTCAGACATCATGGCATTTGAGACCCTGGGTCTGATTATCCTAAGTCCATATATAACCCTGCTTTTTCAATTACTTGGTTATGTAAAGTAATAAATTTGCCCCTTTTACCAAATCAAAGTGGTTTCAGTCACATGAAATGGAGAGAATACAGTATTGGCTGAAGTAGGTAGGTGTCATTTGACGGATGAAAAATAGGAAGCTTTGTGAAATTGTCCCATATGTCCATTTTCTCATAGCTAGTCCATGACAGTCACAGGATTGGAGCCCAGTTGATTATTTGCCTGAGAGCCTATCTTCGTAACAGCTGGTGTCTTTTCCTGTAGTTTGCCTTTCCCAATTGGCAAGAAAGATGGAACTGGAGACAGAGGAGATGGCAACTTGCACTTGGGTGACCATGGGCCCTCCTTTCTTCAAAAAGGAATCACTGAGCAGCAAAAAGAAGGTATACAGATGGTGAGGAAAGTGATGCTTTCTTTAGAGGGAGCTGATGGGCTGGATGAAATTTATTCCTTCAGGTAAGAAGTGAAAGCACAAATTTTTATTGCATCCACATAAATTTGTTTTAATTGGAGGACCCCCCCACAATGCTTTTGAATTAGTTATTAGTCATTTTTATTTATTTAGAAAACCTTTTTTTCTATTTTAAAGTTAATTTTATTGGTACATTTTAGATACATAAAGATCACACTTACAGGAAATTTGTACCTTTATGTCTTGATTCTTCTTTTTTTCCACATTCCCCTCCACTCCTTTCAACCCCTCTTCTCTTTCTTATTTACAAAAGCTTTCTTTCCATTTTTTTCTTCTATTCTGTACCTTCCCTTCTTTCTCCTCCTTCCCTTGTTTCCCTCCCCATTTGAACATTTTGTTCCTGCTTCCCAATATCTGTCACCCATTTTGGTCTTTATTGACACTTTTGGTTTCTCACAAAAGAGAAATAGTGTGATATTTAGGCATGTGTGTCTTTCACTTAAAAGTATAGTCTCAAGGTGCCCTCCATTTACCTAAAAATATCTCAGGTTTATTCTTCTTTATGACAGGATAGTACTCCAGTACATAAAATACCACACTGAAAATGTAAAGGCTATAGCCTGCGGATTTCCTATAGGCATTATAATGGCAAAATTATTTTAAAAAAGTGAAATCCCCTAAGTACCATATAACAATCAGACAAACTGTTTTATCTATTTGTAGAGACAAGGGAATAGAGCTTCTCCTTTATTAGTCTTATTGTTAGTTAGGTTAGAAAAATATTTATTTTGAGCAGAGAACCTGAGAGGGTTCTAAAGCTCTGTGTGTTAGTCAGCTTTTTAAATTTTTTTTTGTCATGGTTTGTATCTGGGTGTCCCCCGAAAGCCTTATGCGGCCATGGGGCAGGCTTTTAGAGTTTGATTGATTATGAGTGTGAGAGCTGCACCCGCCCTGGGGTGGATAGTTTGCATATGTAAGGGAGAGCAAGAGGCTGCTTGGGGCCATTTCCTGGCTTTTGTGCTTCTGGCCATATTCCACACTGGTGTGTGTCTTGTTAGTTTGCTGTGTTCAGCCGCCATGAGCTGCAGCCCTCTGCCCTGTGCCACTCTGCCTTATAATCTGCCAAGTACGGACTGAAACCTCCACAAACTGTAAGCGAAGTAAACCTTTCCTTCCTTAATTTTGGGCATCAGGTATTTTGTCCCAGCAATGAGAAAAAAGTAACCAAGTCATTTAAAAAAATTTTTTTTTTTTATTTTAAAGAGAGTAGTACATGAGAAACAAGCAAACAAAAAGATAGAACAGTAGCAGCATACCAGTATCATGAACATAAACAAATCAAAGCAAAAACATTCAAAGTGATACAGGGTCTCAAGGCAAATTAATAGAAATCAGCAGTGGTTGTTAGGTTGCATACTGCTATCCTCAACTACATTGTTCAGATTATCAGAAATAATGAAAGATTGCTCAAACCCTTAAAGAGAGTAAGAAAATAATTCTCCAATAGAACCTTAGAGATAATACAGAGTTTCACTAGACAAGATGGTAGGAGTTCACCATTGTAATTCCATTGCATATTGTTACCTTCAAATCAGTTGCTCAGACCACCAGACACACATGCAAAGTCAATCAGAACATAAAAAATTGTGAGCATTAACTGTTCATTTTAATACACCATCAGACAACAGCAATACAACTTTTTATTGCTGTGAGCAAATACCTGAGAAAATCAACTTAAAGGAGGAAAGGTTTATTTTGGCTCAGTTTCCATTCTGTGGTGTGCTGGCTCCATTGTTTTAGGCCTGTGCTGAGACGGAATATGGCTAAAGAGTGTGGTGGAGGGAAACTACTCATCTTGTGGCAGAGGAGAAGCAGAGGCAGAGGGAAAGAGCTTTAGTGAAAGGGACCTGGGACCAGGTGTAGTCCCAAACATCACACCCCTTTCAACTGGGCCCCATCTGTTTCCATCCCCTCCCCAAAATTACCTCAAATTATGATCTCATCAATGGATTGCCCCACAGATGAAGTTAGAACCCTCATGATGGAGTCACTTCTGAAAAGCCCATCAGCAACCAATCTTCCAACTCCATGGGCCTTTTGTGGGCTACTTAAGACCCAAACCGTGTCAGTGGCATCTAGAATAATGTGTGAGAACCCTGATTTGGCAAAAGTGGCAGATACTTTACCAAGCAGAATGGGTTGTGTGGATTCAGATTTTCAGAGATAATACTGCTTGATGTTTATGAATTAATTCTGATTTGTTATCAATATGCAAAAGATAGGTAGTTTAAGCAAAGTTCACAATTGAAGGAAAGATTCAACAGCTAGAATTTTTTGAGTAGCTGTAGTATATATCTGCTCTAATTTTTTTGCATCCACAGTTTTAAGTGTTTTTGGTGAGCTGTAATTGACAAATAATGCATCCTGATTTTCTGAGTATAGATATGCTTGAAAAATTATATGTAAATTTTGGAAATAGGATTACAATTTCCCAAAAGGTTGCCGGCGGAATTAATGAAGAATCCTAATAACGTAAAGCTTCTTAGCATAATATATGTTCTTGTCACACTATGTACAGGTAAATGTTCCTAAGTTATTTCTCTTTCCAGGTTAGGAATACATACCTTAAACGAACATATCAATCATGGTAACATAAAGAAAAATCATATGCCAGTTTAAATTACTATTTAAAAGGGGTTCCCTGCACCCCATAATGCATGTGGTAGTTAGGGTGGAATATCAGCTTGTTTAGATTTGAGGTTACCTGGATGATTGGTGGAACAAACTTCTAGGTGTGTCTGGGTGGGCCATGGAGTTGTGACCTTGGAGTCTATGTCTTGACCCTTGTCTCTTCCTTTCTGGTGCTGCTCCCATGCTGTTTCCTAGCCATTATGAACTAAGCAGCTTGCTTCCATATCCCCTTCTGCTATGATGTCCTGTCAGGGAGTCTGCTGACCATGTACTGAACCCCTTGAAGCTGTAAGCTAAGTCAAATCTCTCCTTCCTAAGGGGTGAGTGTTGAGTATTGTGTCCCAGCAATGGGAAAGCTGAGTAATGTAGTATAACATGTGGCTAAATTATTGACTATGCATTGTCTTAGCAATTTGAAGCTACTTTGATTTTACCTCTGCCATGGAGGTATAGAACAGAGCTTTGCCACTGACATACAGTAGCCATTAGCTACATATGGCTACTTAAATTTAAGTTAATTAAAATTAAATAGATTTTAAAATTTTGTCCTTTAGTCACAGTAGCCACATTTCAAATGCTCAGTTTCCTGTTGGCCAGGCGTTATACAAAGCTGTACTGGGCAATGGTGAGCTGGGCTTAAATCATGTAGAAGATCTTAGGAAGACAACTTGGTTTCTACTTGGAGAGATTTAACCTAATGCAGAACCAATGCAGTTTCTCAAATCTTATATATTACAGTGGTCCTAAGAATTTCTCCTGGAACAGAACCTGTACCTTGTGATGGTTTTAGCTTGCCTCATACTTGGACTGGTAATGTCCTGTAAGGCAGGTTAGACTTGACTCAGACTCATTCGTTCCCCAACAACACAAAGCCACGGTGTGCTACAAACTTTAGAAACAAATTCACAGGCAGAATATTTACTGTTTGTTGTGTATTAGTTCTGAGACTTGTAGCCTGTTGAGGTATCACTGTCCATAACTCTGTGGATAATGTAAGATAATTCTCTTTACCTCTTTGTAGATCTGCCTTTCATCTGTACTGAGGAGATCAGTCAAAACATCTGTTGTGTACACTCCTTGCGTATTTAGTAACTAATTCCTTTGTTCGGTCTCTGAGTGAATATCAAAGGATAGAAATAACCTATCCTGTAATCTTCTTTGTTATGTTTGACGAAGGACAGTAAAAATAAAATTGATTGTCATTTTTGGTAAAATGAAGCAGCACTTTACGTTGTATTTGTCCCCTTCCTTCAGCCCTTCTCGTGAGTAAAATACCAATAGTTACCCACTTTACTTTAAGACTATAGACTGCTGATTCCCTTACTCCCTGGAAGGCTTTATTTAACTATTGTGTGGGTATCAAAACACATTATGTCTTTCACTGGAAAAAGTTGGCATCAACTAATGAATTATAGCATTGTGAGCGTGAAGTAACAGGATGGTGCCCTTCCTTTGTTATCCCAGAGCAGGGATTCTTATCCTGAGATTCATTGTTTTCAGACATCCTTTATATTATATGCAGACTCATTTGTGAATGTGCTTTTATCATATCCTCAAAGGTGTCCTTGTTCCTGAAAAAATGTTAAGAACCACTGGCAGAGTTGAAAGAAATGATTGAATGGGGAAAGATAGAGCTGTTCGTTTCCACCTGTCAGTAAAGTAATTCAAGCCATCCTTCCTCCTCAGCCAACTCACTTGTGTTCTGGCTCTCTCCCAACCTGTGGTTGTCATTTTCCTGCCATTCCCTGCTGTTCCTCTCTTTATAAAAGTCAACAATAGCTCACTTCTCATTCTGGAAAACTAAGTGTATCATCTAGTACAAGTTAACATTTTAAAATTGTTACTTTCATTGTATGCTTTTCTTTATTAAGTGAGAGTCTGAGACAACTGTGTGTCTTTAAGAAAATCGAAAGACATTCCATGCCCTGGCCTTGTCAACTGACCATTGGCTCCAATTTGTCTATAAAGATTGTAGCCTATAAATCGGTAAGTAGTGGTTACATATTTTTAAAATAAATGTTACCAGGCAGATAAAAATGCTTATGTAAAGAGCTGACAATTCATGAGTGGGTTATTCAGAGCATAATTACTGCTTCTCTAGCTGCTCTCCCTTTTCATTTAATCTCTGTTTAGCTTTATGTAGATGGCATTCTAGGAGAAGTTTTAAGAATTGTCTATAATAGTTTAATTTCATCCTCTTTCTCTTTGTGTGCATTGATAATTGTGTTAATCATGAGTTCAGGTCTCTCTCTTTTAAGAAAAAAGTGTAATGCATTAAGTTGTCATTGTAATATTATAGCAGAAAGGTAGACAGTGCGGCCAAGTGAAGTTCAGAGTTTTAGGGGGTTCAGGCACACCTACTTCAATTACTAATGTTCTGATAGTAACAGCATCTAGGAAACGTCAAAAACTGATGAGCTGTTACTGTGAAATTGTATTTCATAATATATGTACATTTGTGCATATTAGTGCACTGTCAATAGTGAGTTGCTTCTGGTGATTATTTGATAAATTTCCAGTCTGGCGAGGAGTCTCTGATTCCTCTACATGTGCTTCCTTGCTTTTTTCTTTAAATGCACAAAAAATAAAAATATTCTAAGTACACAAAATAAATATACATGCTTTTGTATATTCAAGGACTTATTTCTGAAACACATGATATATTGTAAGAACCTGGGAGGTTTTTCTTTTTTACTTATGTTTCATTTTTATCCCATCAAGGCCTAGAATTGTGTCCCTAGGAATGAGAGGACAGTGTCATCCTTTGCTTCTTTATGCAGATTTCCTTTTCAAATTTTGTTGATTTCTGACTTCTCATATATTGCTCTTTCTTTGTTTTTCATTAGGAAACTGTAATGAAATAGGTTGGTCCCCCTTTATCAGGCGGTCTGATGGTTTAGTATATTCCGATACTAATATTTGTATGTGGATTTCTCTAGGGAAAAATGGACTGTAGGGAGAATCATAAAGTATTTCTTATGAAATAAACAAGGATTTCCATAAAAGGCAAGAGCAACATTCTAGCTAGAGTAATTGTTCTGGAATCTTTTTCATGTGAACCAGAGAGTGTGTTAGATTTTCATCTTCTATCAATCACAATCCTCGCTTTTCTTATTTTCCCTTTATCTTTTGGAAATAAGATTCTACAGGAGAGAGTTAAAAAGACTTGGATAGTTGTGGATGCACGAACTCTAAAGAAAGAAGATATACAAAAAGAAACAGTTTATTGTTTAAATGATGATGATGAAACTGAAGTTTCCAAAGAAGATACTATTCAAGGTATGAGAGTAAGAGTTTGTGCTTTTGTCTAAAATATATTTTCTTCAAAGTGATATGAGGCTGGCTAGGGTTTGTATTGGTGTTCACTCAGAGACGTTTCTCTGAGGTAGGAGATGCAACTATCTGAGGGGACACAGGGCCTTTAGCTCTTCTGTTGGGTTTAGGTGGATGGCTCCTAGGAAGACACTTCAGAATTTCATTTGTCTGAACTGTAAATGTCTCAAGTGGTGGAGACTTTAAATAATATTTAGCTTTCCTTTGTAGTTGAAACTCGCTAGCTAGGAGAATGGCTAAAGAATGTTAAAAAAAGTTTTCCTTCGTAGTTCTTTAAATGCCAATTTTAGGCTTTATATCCTTCCAGATATACTCCCTTAAGTTAATTTAGAGGGTAAGAAAAATACAGTCATGAGGGTCTTTAAAGTTGTACTTGTTTGTCATACCCATTTGGCTTGAATAATATGTGTAGATGGCATCTCTATCTAGAGGACTTAGAAACTAGCTGAAAATATCCAAATGTCCAAGAGCTGAAGTTATAACATGCCAAATAATGGTTAAGGTAGCATCTCCTGGGGTCCTTAGGTACATTTCTTGCCAGGCTGTGCACTACCCAGTATATTTTTGATTTGCAAGTCTTGTAAACAGTTTCACCTGTGGTACTGTACTCATTGCATATAGTTAAATGCGTTGCAGAATAGAATAATTTAAAGGTGGTAGTGGTTATCAATCTTTCTCCTGATAGGTTATGTATAGAATGTCATTAATATCCTCCAATTTCTACTAAGTCTTTAGTTCAGTGCAGTCTCATAGAACATGAATTTTGCAATGAGACTTGGGTTAGAATTATGGCTCTGTGGCTAATAATTCCTTGTGTCCTAACTAGCAGTAGTAGGCAGAATAGCATGATTAAAGGACAGGACCAGAAAAGTAGGACTAGATGGGTATCTAATAGACACTGTGCATTTGCCTTTGTGATTGTCACAACAACCTATTGAAGCAGGTACTCTTATTCCATTTTACAGATAAGGGAACCAAGGCTGAAAGACATTCATTAATGTATTCGAAGTCACACAGCTGGCAGCTAGCACAACTTGAATTTAGGGCTGTGCTCTTTCATATTATTCTGAATCAGGACTGGCTAATGAAGGGCTTTGAAGGATGGGCTAAGAATTTATGCGTAATCTTAAAAGCAACATGGAGTCATTTACAATTTTCAGGAGCAGGTTGTCATTGGAGCTGAATTTTAGGAAGATGAATATGACAGCCAGGTGCGGGATGGATTGGGAGGAGCAGGGACCAGTGACGAGGGTGCCAGTTCTTTTGGTTGTTAGCAAAGAAGGTTCTGGTTATCTTAGGGAAAAAGGAAATTTACAGTGGGGTGATGTTGGAAGGAGAAACATTAAAAACTGGGTTCAAAATGCATGGGAATACATTATTTTTCCTTTGCCTTTTTATAGCTGTTCATCAACTTCTTCTGTCTGTCCATTCTCCGTCACCTAGTGTTTAGAGTTCCTTGTCTACAGAGGGACTAGTATGCCTATGTAGGCAAAGGAATGTGGTTATATGAGGTGTGATTGAAAAATGTAGGGAATGTTTACCTTTTTAAAAAAGGTAAAACATTTTTTATTACAGTAAAAGACACATTGCCATTAATACCCCTCAAAATAATGTGTCTTGCTTCAAATATATTTATCCCACCATTCTTTTTTGTTTGTTTGTATGTTTTTGGTTTTTCAAGACAGACTCTTACCATGTAATCCGGCTGACCTCAAACTCTTGGGCGATCCTGCCTCAGCCTCACAAGTGCTGGGATTATAGGTGTGTGCCACCACGCCTGGCTATCCTGCCATTCTTGACACCCTGTGAAGCAGTTCTGGAGGTCCTCTTTTGTGTCTTTAGTTGTGCTGTCATAGCTGCCTTAATATCCTGAATTTATACAAAATGTTTACTTTTCACGGTCATTTTGACTGTGGGGAAGAACCAGAAGTCACATGGTTCCAGATAAGATGAATAAGGTTGCATGAGGACACACTGTCATGTTTTTACTTGACAGAAATTGCCATAAATGTTGACCTACTTGGCATGATTAAAACATAGAGTGAAGGTTTAAATTAAAAAATTTATTATAGTACAAGACACATTGCCATCACTCCCCCTTAGAATACTAAAAGTAGTTCCTCTCTACTTCACGCACACTTATCCTATCATTCCTGGCAATATGTTTTACTATAGGTAAGTTTTTAAAAATTCAAACATTCACTTGTCAGTCATCTCTTGTAAGGTAATCTGTTCTATACTTTCTGCCTACAGAACAGTTAGGGATATTTGCCCTTTAGAACCAGAAAACACAGTTTTCATTAGAACTTTCAAGTCACTGTCAAACTATTTAAGTAGGAAGATAATTGATACAGAGAAAACTTTCTATGTATTTCTCTGTTAATGTTTGTTGGTTTTTTTTTTTGCCAGTTTTTTAAAAAAGGAAGATAGAAATTTGTGTCTTTTTACCTAAATACATGGTACCAGCAGACTAGCAGGAACAAATAAACATTGGATCAGAGAATCTGTGCCTGGAAACTCACGGTTTTTGTTATTTGAATTAAAGATGAATAGTTTTTTCCTTTGCATTTACCCAAGACCAGAACCCTGGAAGTTTGATGACCCTTCTCACCATCTATATGACACTATATTGAAGGAGTACAGTCTTCCACAGAGTGGTGGTAATAAATGAGGTTGAGGTTTTGTCTTTTTTTTTTTTTGGTACTAGTAGTAGAACTCAGGACCTTGTGCCAGGCAGGCTCTGTGCCATTGAGCTATATCCCTGGCCCTGTCCTTTTTTTTTTTTTTTTTTTTTATCAAATAGCAAATATTTACATAAAAACCCCCAAAATTCTAAAGATAAAATAAATTTAAATGAAGAAAAACATGCAATTTATCAGTTGAATATTTCTAAACAGAAGAATTTTGTCATTTTCCCTTAAGCATTTGTATGTCTCCAGCATATATTTTTCAGAACATTTTGTTCTGAAAATTTCCTATGGGCGGTTTTCTCTGTGGGTCTCCAGGTTTCTGAATAAATGTGTTTTTGTTATTATGTCTACAAACCACACTTGTACTTTAGTCAACCATGGTTTATCTTTGGAGGATAGCTAGTATATTGCATTTGCTGTGTTCTTTATTCTAGGCTGGATAATCATTAAGGTAACTATATTGCAGAAGATGCTAACTTTAAAATGTAATTAGATTTTAATCTCTATATTGTGTGTGGCTTGGTATCTGTGCTGCCTTTTCTCTGTTGATCATAAGGGGCGGTAATTTGGTTCCAGGGAGTAGAAGATGGAGCAGGCTCTGAAGTATGCATGTATTGTTAATGTATGCGTAGAACACATTTCAGCTTGGAGAAAATGAGGCCCCATATACCTAACAGATGCTCTTCTCTTGTTCTCTAGGGTTCCGCTACGGAAGTGATATAGTTCCTTTCTCTAAAGTGGATGAGGAACAAATGAAATATAAATCGGAGGGGAAGTGCTTTTCTGTTTTGGGATTTTGTAGATCTTCTCAGGTACAGCAATTACTCTGTAATTTTGAGCAAAATACATGAGCCTTTTTCTACTTACTGCCTGAGATGGTGTGCTTTTCATTGATCATTTTATTTACAATATATACTTACCTTAGTCATCTGAAATGTAGTCTGAGGTTTAATGTTGTCACCTTTGGTTTTTGAAGAGAAAAATGAAGATGTAAGAGCTTTTAGGACAAATCTGAATGATAAATTCAATTAAATCAGTTTTTTTGCCTTAGTAGCCATTATAACTAGTAGTAACCTTAAAGAAACAATACCAGTTCTTTGCTCTTGTACTGTTTTCTGTAAACTTATGTATAATGGAAAGTTTTAGACCTTTAAGATCTGGCTGAGAGCTGGGCATGGTGGCGCACGCCTGTAATCCCAGCACTCGGGAGGCTGAGGCAGGAGGATTGTTGCAAGTTTGAGACCACTTTGGGCTACAAAGTGAGCTCAAGGCCAGCCTGAACTGCTCAGAGAGATCCTGTCTCAAAACAAAAAAAAAAAAAAAAAGGAAAAGAAAAAAAGATCTGGCTGAGTTTTAAGTGACCATTAGCGCCAGAATATCATTCGTGCTGATCACCTTTCGTCTCATTATCCAATGTAGAATTCTAGAGTGAGAAACTTACCTAAGTTACATGTTTTTTAGATAGAGAAACAGAGATGCACAAAACAGACACAATGGGAAATGTGGTAATTCACCATTGGATATCACAGATAATTTTAGAAAGGATGGTTAAAAGATTTCTAGAGATTTTAGGTTAAATGTTCTTGGAAAAAAAAAGTAGAAAAGCTGGGTGTGGTGGTGCACGCCTGTAATCCCAGCACTTTGGAGGCTGAGGCAGTAGGATTACTGCTAGTTCGAGGCTAGCATGGGCTACATAGTGAGTTCAAGGCCAACCTGGACTGCAGAGCAAGACCCTGTGTCAAATAAATGAAAAAAACAAAACAAAACAAAACAAAAAAATGAACAAACTCTTGAAGTACACAGTCAGATGTCAATTATTATTAATAGATGTATATCTTTATATGTGTATTTTACCTAAGTTTTATAAGGATGAAGAGGTTTTTATTAACAGAGTCATGTGAACATTAGAGTGAAGATCAATGTTACTCTGTATTTTTTGTTTGTTTGTTTATTTTTTTGTTTTTTTGAGACAGGATCTCTCTGAGCAGTTCAGGCTGACCTTGAACTCCCTATGCAGCTAAGGCTGACCTCAAACTTGCAACAGTCCTCCTGCCTCAGCCTCCCAAGTGCTGGGATTACAAGCGTGTGCCTGACCACTCTGTATTCTGGATTTGAAGTTCTGCATGTTACTCTAGCATATGGTCCCTGTCCGTGTGTGTGTTAGCATAATTCATTGACGTTGAGAAGAACTGTTTTCATGTTTGTCTAAACTTAATTAATATGTGGTTTCTAAACTTATAAGCCAAAAATTTAGGGTATTAACTTAAAAGTCTGTAAGATTTTACTAGTGACAGTAACGCCTTTTAGAAGTTGAGTGTCTGTAACATATCTTTAACAAGAGCCACTAAATAATGCTTTTCTTAAAAGTAAAACTACTCAGTTTGGGAAGCATATAAACTTAAAACATAATTATTAATGGCAGTGCTTACAAATCTTCAGTGAAACAGAAATCTCATTTACTTTTTTTTTTTGAAATAGGGTCTCACTATGTTGTTCAGGCTGGCCTTGAATTTATGATGATGCTCCTCCCTGGTGCTAAGATTACAGGCATGCACTACCACACCTGACTTCACAAACCTCATTTTTAGATCAGTTTAAGGAAATTGGCCGGTTGAGATGTGGATCTAAGTCTAGATAATAGAAAAAATGGATGGAAAAACACCTTGAAATATAATTCAGGACTGAGAATATTGAAATCATCTGTGCCAGATTGGGAGGCAGGAGCTATTTTAAATAACAGAAGAAAAACGTGAACAGAACAAAAAATATGCTTTTCATTTTAGAAGACTTTTATAGTGAAATGTTTTCAAAATCAACTCTTTAAGCTCTAAATCAGTTTTATCTTAACTATAATCTCAGACAGCTACAAGATAATCATAGCTACCATTTATTGAATAATCGTAATAATATTAGCATTTTATATGATTTTCATGTAATTCTTATTACCCTCTCGGTGGCTCTGTGATAAAGTAATTGCAGTTTGGAGCTATTATGTAACTTGTCCAGGACCATGCTGCTAAAAGATATTATAGGTGGGTTTTAAGCCAGGTCTCTGACTCTAAAGGCAATGCCATTATTTAGTGGAGTCTGCTCAGGAGATGAACAAGTGCACTGTTCCATAGTCCAGTTTAAATACCTGCTTTCATATAGTATCTTAACAAAAGGATGCAAAGTGTCTCCCATGGTGGCTGTGATTAAATATAAGCATATGCCTTTTAACAGACTGATGATTATTGTTAATAAAATCACATATAGTTCCATATTATGGATTCCACATTCCTGGATTGAATTTGCTGCACTTTTGGGTGAGACCCAGGGTCTCTGTCATGCTAGGCGAGTACTCTACCACTGAGCTATAGCTCCAACCTAGGTTGTGATTTTTGCGTGTGTGTGTGTGTGTGTGTGAGAGAGAGAGAGAGAGAGAGAGAGAGAGAAAGAGAGAGAGAGAATTGTTCTCAATTGTGAAAATTTCAAGAGGTCAGTTTGTCAAGTGTTTTGGGTATCTAATTATAAAATAGATAATAATTTAGCTAGAACTTCCCCTAGATGTCTAGCTATTCTTTGAAAACTCATTTAGGTCCATTAGGAAAATTTATCATTAGTTCTTTAGTAAGTCAAGAACTATTACAGATTCTAATTGGGCAAGTCAATGTATGTGAATGTAGCAAAATGCAAGAATAGGATTTTTAGAAGTAGGATTTTTCAAATGGGGAATGAAAGTAGAGATCAGGGATATTTGAGTTTTTTGGAACCTCACCCCCACCCCACTTTGAGACTCAGTCTTCTTGAGCTGCTGATACCATGACACCTGATTTCTCAGCTTTATAGGTGGGAGAGCAGAAAAAACATTGGAGAAATAAATGTTGCCCAATGTAGCACATGGTACCTTCTTAGAAATAAGCAGGTTTCTCGATATTCATTTGCTTTCCTGATATTGGTAGATTGCTTTGACCCCTCTTATACCTGCTACAAAACTTAATTGAATTGAAAAAGAGAAAAAGGACATGCAGTGTTTGTTTTTGGTTTAACTAGTTTCCCTTTCTCCAATCCTGACCCTCTTTAATTCATTCTTCATTTTAGTCTCTGCAGTTTATCACTGCCTTCTCACTGCTCTTAGGATAAAGTCCAAACCATTTGACTTTGTTCCCAAGAGACTGTATGATTTAATCTTTGTTAATCTCCAATCTGAGTTTTTAAATCTTTTCCATCATTTGCTGGCTCTGCACTACTCCCAAAACAGTTTATCAGATTTACTATGCTTTTATGTCACTCTATATTTTTATTCACACTGTTACTTCTGCCTGGGATCTTCTGCCCAGACTTCCTAGGTTAATTCCTATGTAGTTTATTAAGTCTTGAATTAGATGTCACCATTTTCATAAATATTCCCTAAACCCTTACAACAGAGCTCAATGCCTCTTTGTGCTCTTACAACACTATATAACCTTGGATTCAGTTAACTTCATGTTTATTCACCTAAGCTCCTCAAGGACAAGATTATATCCTATTTACTGTTGTGTTTGTAGTATCCATAATGGAAGACACATAGTAGGTGTACAGTTATTTGTTCTGTTGAATTGAATTAGGCGTCAAGTAATAAGTTGGTTCTAGTAATTGTGTATGTTTTCCAGCAAGAATATTTTGAATAGATTTTTTTAGCAACATGGGATGTTATAGGTGTATATTTATTATTCTAGATCAAAACCATTTTTTCCCCTTTCTTATTCTTGTAGGTCCAGAGAAAATTCTTTATGGGAAATCAAGTTTTAAAGGTCTTTCCAGCGCATGGTGATGAGGTGAGTTGAGTATGGTCTTTGAGGCAGTGCTATAGAATTGAATTGTCATTTTATGAAAGTGGGTTGTTTGAGGCTTTATTGTTTAAAATGACATGAGTTCTTATAATAGCAATGGGAATATTCACTAAATTTTGACTCTGAAAATGGAGAAATGATAAACGAGTTTGTCTTAGCATAACCAAAAGTTCTGAGAACATAGTTCTGCAATTGAAGACCAGTTGTAAGTATTAAAAAATTTTTGAACAGATGCACTTAGGTATGAGAATTTGATGGTCAAATATTAAGGAGGTTTGGGGTCAGGTTGACATTTTGATTTTTATAAACACTGAACATTTCGTGCTGGCATAGCATCCTAGAGAGGTTCCTCAGAGACTCACTGGCTACCTCCATCACTCAGGAAATTTGTCTTTTACTCCTTCTCTTTCTCTCTGTGCTGTTTTTGCCACATTCCCCAAATACTCTGTTTTTAGCCTTGTTTCTGCCTGGCTAACAACAGTGATTTTTGCATCCTACACTCTCATCTACCTCTTTGTAAATGTTTTCTTTCTTACTTCCAAGTCAGAACTTATTATTTCCTTGGAGATGTTAATCTTAATAGGGAGATTGCAATCTAATGTCTGTTTAAGGAAATTTAAATAGGTTTCCAAGTTTCTGAAGTATTTGCATTTGAAATTAGGGGTGGGAGGAGGGTGTTGGTGTAATGGGTATAGTCCTCTTTTTTCTCCTCACTTCTGAAAGGTAACTGGCTGCTGGTCTAGTGGATGAGTATGCCAGTATTCTGTGGGAACAACTAAAATTAGGAGAAGAAAATGCTTGGCTTCCACTTTGTACTAAACAGATTTATTAGTGCACAGTAGACATGTGAATCTTCAAATTTGAGAATTCTAGTTCTCGGGTTTCTCCTGAATCAAATCCTCTAGACATCATGCATGTTTTTGTATGTACTATCAAATCATGATTTCTATTTAACTTCTCCGAGGTTTTAACTATTTGTCCCTTTACACGGAGAAGATTCTGATCATGAGATTTTGGATATGCAGTAAGTGATGTTGTAATGTAAAGTTGAGTTAACACATTTGTTGGGTGATTATCTAGACTTGCTAGCTGAGGGCACCCTTATGAATTGCGTGATTCAAATCTGCAGCTATATAGGTAACTAATTTCTAATGTGAATGTGAAATAAAAATTGAGAGACAAATCTCCATTGAAAGAACTTGTATTTGGGAATAAAAAAAAGGATTCCAATCTGGGACACACATGCATAGATCTGGTTGCCTCCTGTTTGTTTGAGACTTTAGGGTTTATTGGGACAGAAATCTATGCAAGTTATTATGGAAGAAGAGTCACTGACCCTTTTGGTACTTGACAGAGCTACCACACTCTGCTTGGTGAGTTACGGCAATCACTGTATAAAGCTAGTCTTTAGATTATAGTTGGCAGTTCTGTCACCAGTGGCTAAGTACAGATCGTTTTAAGGACAGGACAGGCTGTCTTACTGGGTCGTTTCTGTGAGATGATTGCTGGAGTAGGCGTCAGTGACTTGAGTGTACCCACTTCCTTTCCATAGCTTGTAGACTCTTTGTAGGTTGCAACAAGAATGGCTCCATTTGGTATAATGGATTTTCATACTACAGATCATATGGTCACTTTAAGGTCATTTAAAAAAAGATGTTTTCACTTCTAATGGCAAAAGACTACCTTTAGTGTCAGTTTGATGTGAAAGTAAAAAAAAAACAACATGCTATTATCTAATTGGAATTTATAATGTAACCCGGAGAGTAAGGGAGCGCTTGATATATGAATACTTCCAATAAAAAATCGCAGAGAGAAGTTAGGCTTGGTGTTGCATACCTGTAATCCCAGCTACTTGTGGGGCTGAGGCACAAGCTCAAGGCCAACCTGGGCAGCTTAGTGAGACCATGTCTCAAAATAAAAAATTAAAAGGTTTGGAGATGTAGCTCATGATAGAGTCCTTGCCTTGCATGCATGATGCCCTGATTTCAATGCCCAGTATTGCAAAAAACATCACATGAAGAAGATGTGTGGGTAGATGGGGAGTAGGAGGGATGACAGGCTTAGTAGTATGCCACATACATCTAGAGGATGGTAGGGTGGAATTGGAATTTTTCTTCATGTTGGAGGGGTGAGCTGAGAACAACATGTGGTAGTTCTCCTTCCAGGTGAAGAATTATTTTGTCAACAAGAATTAGTATATCCACATGAATTTTTGTGAGATGGTCAGATCCCCATCTCCCTAAGTTTCTAAGCAGAGTCTTCAGTACCACCAGTCTGGTGAACCTACATGTAGATTGTTAAACTAGATCAACTAGGTTGTTAAACTATTATTTTAACTCAAATATTCTATGATCCTGTGAATAACTCCTTTAAAAACTTCTTCTGTGGTCATGAGCATACAATAACTTTTTTGTGTAGAAAATCTGTACTTTTATTTGCTTACTTGCTCTGCTTATGGAAGAGAAGTGGAGAGGGAAAGGAAAAGAAATGGAGCTTCAGTTGAGTTGAATGCAGGGGTACTCTGATGTTATAACAGAGCAGTCATTCATGACTGCCATCTTTTCTTTAACACCATAACTACTCCAGTCAAAGGAAATGAAAACTTCCAAACAAACTAGAAGTAATCTTTTCCTCAGATTGGCCCTTTCACATGAGAACTATTATTAGAGTGTGGATGTCTTGTATTTGATATATCTCCCATTTTTCTTGGAGAGACTGTATTGGGCGGGGGGTAGGAGGCGGAGGGCAGGGACACATCTTTGTTTTCTGATGGAGCCTAAGAGAGTGGCTAACAAAGAATAGGTAGTAAATATTTTTTCTGCATTGAGCTGAAAACAGAATTCATCTATTATGAAGTCTTCAGAGAATTTCAGTGGATAAGCATTGAGGACATAGGTTTTTAGTGGAGGGAATAGAAATACAATTAGCTAACTTTGACACAGGTTATCTACTATGCTAGAAAAGTATAGTGTTCAGGGAGTTTGAGAAAGGGAGGCAACTGAGTAAGACAAATCTGAACCGGAGAGGGTGTCAATTTAATAAGCTTTGAAAATGGGTTAGAAACTAGAGAACTGGAGATTTGGAGGGGGCATTCTAGCTAGGAGGAAATTGTGCATGCAGAAGCTACAGGGGAGAGAAGGTACAAGAGGTGCTCCCAGTCACAGATCAACTCAGTAAGCCTGGAATAGAGGAGCCGTTAGAAGATTTTATGGAGGGGAATGATATGATCAGCTCAGTGAATAGGTGGCAGTGATGGATTTGATAGACTGTCTAGAGTTAGAGTTAAGTTGAGGGATGAGAAAAGCAGTATTATCAAAGACTTTGGGCCTCTAGTTTTATTGAGTGAGTGGTGGTATTAATGGAAATAGAGAATGTAGGAAGAGACTGGGGAAAGACTGGTTTTAGTCATGGATATCTTCAGGTCCCTGAAAATGCCACATTAGACACTGTGTAAGATATCTAAGTCTGGATCTTAGGAGAGTTTTAAAGCTGACTCTACATATTTTTGACTCTTCAACTCATGGGACTGGATTATGTAATCCCCAAGTAGAATTTTAGAGTGATAGGCGAGAAAGGCCAAAAGTAGACTTGAAGAATCAGCTGGGGGAAGAGAAAAGCATGGGGAAGGAAGGCCCACACAACAGAATAATTAGGGGAGAGTATTACTTTGGAAGCCAGAGAAGGAGAGTGTGCAGAAGAGGGATGGGCGTCAGCTGCTGTGTGTCTAGCCACTGCAGTAGGAACCAGGAATTGGCATGGAGGGGTCATGGGTGACTCCAGAGGACGGTTTCAGTAAGGAAGAGCGGGGAGGTAGCTGGATTAGATGGAAGAATTACTGTGTTCTAAGCTTTGGAAATAGCAAGACTATTTTTTCATGAAATTTTGAGGGGAAGAGAATGAAAGATACATGTGTAGTAATTTATGGAGTGAGAAAGACAAAAAGATTTTGTTTAGGAAGACTGAGAATTGAGTTAATTCCTAGGGTGAGGATATGAATTCAGAGTAGAAGGAAGGTTGAAGTGATATGTAGTTAGTAAAATTCCAGAAAGAGTACACTCAGTATACAGTTTGGCCTTGAAGTGGGTAAAAGAGCACTTTAATTTTATTTGTTTATTTTGGTGGTGTTGGACACTTAAAAAAACCTGAAATAGGAAGAAAGTGGATGGTACTTTCAAAAATATTTTTTTTGTGTGGGAATTCTCACATATTCGGCATATGTGAACACTTGCATCTTTCTTAACAGGCAGCAGCAGTTGCACTTTCCTCCCTGATTCATGCTTTGGATGAATTAGACATGGTGGCCATAGTTCGATATGCTTATGACAGAAGAGCTAATCCCCAAGTTGGTGTGGCTTTTCCTTTCATCAAGGATACCTATGAGGTAAAACCCACAGGTCTTTCTTACTCATTTTTTTTTTTCCACTCCTTTATTCTAAGCCAGACTTCTCAACTGTTAGTGTGCATGAGAACTACTGGAGGTGTTGTTAAAAGGAGATTCTAACTGCAGGTCTAGGCTGGGGTCTAGATTCTGTGTTTCTTGCAAACTCCCAAGTAATGTTGACACTGCTGCTCTGTGAACCATGCTTTCAGTAGTAAGAGAACTATGAACTATAAAAGTATTTAAGGAGCTTTTTATTATATCAATAAAGGTGAACCATGACCCTCTCTCAGTTTTCATCCTGCTTGACTCCTCAGAACAGAATGGGAACAGAACCTGCCCGCATTTTAACAAATAGGGACTGTGAATAAAGGTTGAAGATGTGATTTTGTTGTGATCCTTGTGAAGTTCAGTTTATTTGGGGCTTTTCTATTTAAAATGCAGGTCTAGATTCCTTACATTTCCTGTTTCTGAGAGAACCTATCATGGCAGAACTGTAGAGAGAAGGCAGATCCCTTGGCTTCCAGGTCAGCCTTCTGGGCACCCTGACTTCGCTCATTTGTTCTACTTGGTCATGCACTTTGTAGTTGTCATTTAATAATCTTTCTTTCAAGCATTGCTTTTATGTGTAATATCTTTCATATCATTTGCAGTTTTCAATAGTCAATAGAAGTCAAAACACTTTATTTTGCATGTGTTCAGTTTGAGTTAATTTTTGAAATATTTCTGTTCTGCCACTCTCACACCATTTGGGACCATTTTGATATTTTTCCATTAATTTGGTTGTTTCTACTTTTATCTCTTCTCTTTCCCATTAGTGTTTAGTGTATGTGCAACTGCCTTTCATGGAAGACTTGCGGCAGTACATGTTTTCATCCCTGAAAAATAATAAGAAATACACTCCCACGGGTGAGTTTATTTCTGCTCAGCTCACTAACGGCTTTACATGTAAACTGCTCTGGGGAAATCGCCTGGCTGCAGTCATGAGTCAGGGCCAGGCTTTCACAAAGTGGAGTTAGTTGGATTTCAACTATAACGCTCATACCCAGTGACAGTGAAGGTGGTCAGTCACCAGGTGTTTTTCCATAGGAAGGAGAGGTTTGCTCTGAACTCTCCAAACACTGTCTTGCTCCCCCTTCTGACTTTGAGCATGTATCTTGGGAGCAGCGTGTTGGTGCTGGATCTTCGTTCTCCAGTTGTAAGCAGGTTTGTCCCTGCTGAAGTAGATTGGTGTGCAGTGTCAAACCTGTGACTTTAGGTCCTACTGTAATCTGATGTAACTTTGAAATGAAGAAGACACTGCTAGAGAGTAACTTTTCTCCTTGTCCTTCCTGTGTAGTTTACAGTGGCAGTCAAGTCTCGTTATTTATTTCCAGTTGCCAGGAGTTACTCCATGCTCGAAGAGACAGGCTGTTATTAAGCATCTGGCTGCAAATGTCAGAGTGTTACCCTGAGTCTCACAGCCGCAGCCTGTCTCCCGGAGAGCTCACTGTTTAAGACAGTGGTAATAAAATGTAGCAGGGGGTCAGAATGAAAAGAACAATGCATGATGATAGTTGTTTTAATTTATAAGTTTAAAGTTATTTGTATCAGTGTAGGATTAGGGAATTGTGAGGTGAGTCTCCAGACGGGGTCCTCCTTGTGTGTTATTTTGGCTAGACCCTTTGGGAACTGTGTGCTGTGAAGAGGCCAAGAATAAAATGAGTCTTTAGGGCCTGTATCTTACCTCCCTTTTATTTCAATTTTTAGTGTTTTTTTTTTGAGACAGGGTCTCACTCTATAATTCAGGCTGGCTTTGAACTCACCATGTAGCCCTGGCTGGCCTCGAACTCACAGTAGTCCTCCAGTCAGCCTCCCGAGTGCTGGGATTGCTGGGATTACAGGCAAGCGCCACCATGCCCGGCTTTACCTTCCTTTTTTAGAGGTGAATCCCTCTGTATCACAGAGGAGGCAGGCATGGACCTGAATGTATAGATGTTGTCACCATGCTACAGTCTCTCTTCCTTGACCATTCTAGATTTTAAATGAGTAGAATATTTTAAAAGGAGAACTTTGTTCAGAAAGTATCTTATAAATGTAACTGATTCAGGAGCTAAAAAACTGAGTATCTCATGACTGGTTGATCTGGGTTCAGGAAGTTAACATATTTCTCAACATTTTCTCCCGTGGAAAGTAGATCCTTAAATCTGGTTGGTATATTTCCCAAGTCGATGTTTATGTAGAGAGCTGCGCTACCAGAATGATTTCACCTGATGGTAGCCGGTGGCACCAGGTGGAAATCACAGAATGTACACACAGGCAAGATCGACTCCTAGCTCTTGCCAGGTATATGCTGTGCTGGTTATCTTAAGAAGGTGATGGCTATGCCATTGCCTGAAGCCTGTGTAGAAAAGTTCAAGAACAAGAAAGAAATAGCTCAGGATAAATACTATATTTTATTTTGTTGTAGCAAAATAAAAGGGATATCTAAAAAAGTGAAAAATAAAAACATAAAAATACCTTTTCAGAAACTGCTTACTCTTTACCACCTTTTGCCTGACAACTGTGAATCTAAAAACAGTGCTTCATGTTGACAGCCGAACAGTTTATAAATAAGCAGAATGAAAGTCACACATGGCAGCTTAGTTGGAAGCATTTTTGGGAGACGTTGCCTTTCATCCGCATTGTTTTGAGCAGTGCCATTTTCGCTGACTTGGTAGATTTTTATTGAGGAGCACTTGCCTTCTGTTAAATTTTAGGAAAGACAAAAAGGATGATGTTGTGTTTCTGCCATCATGGAGCTTTAGAGTTTGAAGAGTAAGGTAAGATGTGTACACAGATGTGCATATATGCAGGGTGCTTAGTGTCATGAGGCTTTGCAAGAGGAAAGGGCTGATTCTGACAGAAGTTCGTGAAGGAATCAGCTCACTGTGGTCCAGTTGTGTCTTCCTGTTCAATATAGTAAGTGTTTGGAAAGCTGATACTTCATTACTAGACGGTTGTTTTTCCTTTTTAATATTTTTCTTTTAGATGATTACTAAGTTTTAAAATATTAGCTCATTGAATACTGAATATTTTGTATGAATTTCCATGGGGATGTTGAGTTTTGTATGGCTTTAGTGCATTTTTCTGGACCAAACTCTGCTTTTGATGTGATACTCCATTGTCAAAAGGTCACTGAATGGTGGAGCAGAAAAGGACTTAAGAGATCACCTACTCTTATTAACTCTTTTCACAGATAAGAAAATCAAGACTCAGGTGAAGTACTTACATAATCAGAGATTAGTTTTGGCAGAGCCAGGCTATAGAACCTGCCAGTGTTGCTGTATTATTAATGGAAAACATTTGTTTTAGAGAAGGATAATGGAAATAATCACTTTTTCTTTCTGCTTCCATTTGTTTTAAGAGGCACAGTTGAATGCTGTTGATGCTTTCATTGACTCTATGAGTTTAATAAAGAAAGATGAAGATGAAAACACCATCAAAGACTTGTTTCCAACTACCAAAATCCCAAATCCTGAATTTCAGAGATTATTTCAGGTAAGAGGGAAAGATGAACCTATAATAAAGTGAAAAACTGTGGTCACTGGCCAGTCCCAAATGAACACCTTTATCCTCTGAGCCTCTGAGGGCCTCATTTGTTTTTCTTAATAGAAGAATAACTTTTCTCCTTTCTACTTGAAAATAAAAAAAATATTCTGAGCTTGTAGAAAGAAAAGTTAGAATCATTTTTTTCGTTGAAGAAGCCTACTTGAAAAAAAAATACAAGAGGGTTTAATAAAAAGCACATTCTTTTATGCTTTTTCAGGCTTTTCTCCTATATTTCTGTGTGAAAGACTTTTTAAAAATCAATAGCAAGGAAGATCACATGAACTGTGTAGTAATATAACCACTGTTAGGGAAAATGTATTGCAGTGCTGCATTTGTCAAAAATTTCATAATTAAATATAGAATAGAGGTCAGATAATGAGATTAAAATATGAAATTATCCAAGAATAACTAAAATACAGAAATACATAAAAATATAAAATAGAGTATGTGTTTCTGAATCTTGGGCCAGAAGAATTAGAAAGTGGGGGATATTAAGGTAAATTAGAAGAGATGACAAGAAAACTGAGCTATGCTGAAAAAAGGGAGGGACAGGCCAGAGGTAAAGAGGAGGGAGTATTCCAGCCCTGTTCTGAGCTGATGACAGCAAGGTATAGACTCCTCTGACGCCCACAAAACTGAAGAACACCATAGGCAGCTTTCAGGCAAACTGTTCCCCACAGAGGGATGGAGGCCCACTCCTGGGCAGGATGAGTATTATGCAGACACCATGGACTATCCATGTTGACTGACTTTGTAAAACATCTGTAACTAACCCAGGGCCCTATTGGGTCCTGCTGTGATTTAAGGGATCTTCTACCCGAAAGAAATTTTCTGTGTTTTTTGATGTTTGAAATTTCTTTAAGTAATTAATTAAAAGAAATCATTGGTTCTAAAATTAGCACTATGAAACTGAACACATAGAGGCCTGCCTCAGTGAATACTTTAGTATCTACTTGTAATCACGTATAAATGGCAGATAGAGCCTGTGGTGTTTTTGAAGAGTGGTATTAAAGACCTGAAGATTGTGCTATTGGAAGGCAAGCGAGGAGCGGAGCAGTGGGAAATCTTTCCAGAACAAAAGAAACTTCTACTACATGGCAGATTTGTCTAGCTTCAGTGAAGCTTTGTTGGAAGAGCTAACAGATACAAGTCATAAAGGCAGGCGTTTTTATCTTGCAAGGCTGTGAGCACTGGTAACTTTGATTTTTATAGCATTTGCTTTCTTTTGTTGGGAGAGAGTTTTTTAAATGGCTGGTCTGTAAAAAATACATTCAGATTATATATTTTCACTAGGGCATGTATATATTGAATTCACTTTTTGAAAAAATCAGATACTTACTGAGTACTAAGAATGTACCTATGCTCAAGATATTATAAACTCACTACTTTAAGGACCCCTCTAGAGGAAACAGGAGTGGAGAGATACAATGGCTGAAGTTTCCAGTGGTCAGAAAACACCATGGCAGTAAGAGGAAAAAGAGATTCCTGCTAATATATAGTTTAAGGAGGTGTCTCTCAGGAATTAACATTTGGACAGGAACCTAAACAAATGATGATGTAATGAGGACATGCTATGTAAAAGAAGTAGCATATACAAAAGTATGAAGTGTCACCTATTTATGAATCCATAGAACAGAGAAGTCAGGTGTGTGGTGCATGCCTGTAATCCTAGCACTTGGGAGGCTGAGGCAGGAGGAAAGCCATGAGTTGGAGGCCAGTTTGAACTACATAGCAAGACCCTGTTTCAAAACAAAACATATTACAGAAAATGGATAATAGATTCTCTGTGGGAAATGATGGAGAAGGTGGCGGGAAGGTAAGTAGCAGGTAGGTTGTGAAGAACCTTGTGTGTTTTGCTCAGGAGTTGGGATTTTATGGCAGGAGGTAATCATTAAAAGATTTTGTCAGCAGGTGGATAATATAGTTTAAAACCAATAGCTTCATTGGTACTAGAGGAGGTGGACTGGAGACCAGTTAAGAAACCTGCAGTGGCCTGCTTGGAGGCTTGAGTTGAAGCAGTGATGAAGAGGTTAGAGAGGAGTAGATTTTGAAGACATGTAGAAAGTAAAGGAGATAGGATTTGAGATATTTAGGTGGTGGTTGATAAGAGATGGAGCGAAATAAAAGATAATTGGATCCTAGCTGGGGTTATTGAAAGGATGGCGTCACTGTTAATTGTGATAAGGAGTATAGAATGAGCAGATACAAAGGGTGGTTTGTTTTTACAAATGTTAAATTTGAATTATCTGTTAGCTAACCCAATATTGACCCTAAATGGGAAGTTGGAACTGTGGAGCCCAGAAGAGAAGTCAATCTGACATACAGTTTTGAGAGGCTTCCTCTTTGGGGTAAAAAGTGAATGAAATGGCCTGGGAGAGCACATAGAGTGATAAGGAAAAGGACAATTGAACCTAAACTTTGAGTGGACAATCTGAGATAGACATTAAAAGAAGAGCTATGAAAAAACAAAACCAAGCGTGTCTTCCTCCACCCTGCAACAGAGGTCAGAGAAGCAGAAAGAAATTGGAGAAACTGATGCCTTGGAAGGCGTAGGAGAAGTGTCCAGGAGAGACTGTCAGGGACAGTTTTGCACAATGGTGAACAAAGGGGAGCATGGCAGAGGCCACTGGGGCTGGGAGTTGAGTCTTTGATGACCAGGGCTGTGTCAGCTGAGCGTTGAGGCAGAAGCCAGGTTGCAGTGCCTGGAGACCGGTCCTGAGAAAGCAAAAGAGGACAACAGGAGACATGGCACCCAGGATGTGTTTTTTTCTTTTTTTTTTTTTTAAGTATTTATAGCTGAGTGTGAATGAGCTGGTAGAAGGGAAAGATTAATAATCTGTTGGTAAGAGGGTAATTCTAATTTTGGAACAAAGTGCTGAAAAGTATATCTTGTTTCAAGAGGACAGTTAAAATCACCTGTTAAATAATTGATACAGTGTTCCTAAAAATCAATGTTAGTACCCTTTGAGTTAGCCTCTGGGCTTGTATTTTTTCCCCTAATCTTTTTCATATTTAAAAATCACATTAAGCGGTAACAGTTGCTTAAAAGAAATAGAGGATTGGGATCTCAGCTTCCCAGCTACTAAAAACTGTCACTTCCTCCGAACCTCATTTTGGGGTGAGGGGGTGGGAGATGAACTGGGATTTTTTGCTTAAATGACTTTTGTGTGTATCTCACTTAGCTTCATGTGGTCTAAAGTGTGACCTTTAAGAAAATACGAGAGAGAAGTTGAGGCTCCAGGACATCTCTTCTAGATCCTTCATTATTAACTTATTGATAACAACACTATTTAAAATAGTCCGAAATTCATACTGAAAATCTGAGATGTTGTCAGTTGGAAAGACTGGGTAGGATATTTATTCACTGGTGTTCTAGTTCTTTCTAAAACATGCCAGTTGTATAGCACACATCGATATTTTTCAGGAATATGTGAGAGGAAACTTACCAGATTCTTTAAGACTTTGTAAGCTGAGCCATTTTAGTGAACTGAGGGAGAGCACTGTGAATTAAGGATTGTGCACAAGAGGGTTATGGGTAGATTCTGAGGGTTTGTCAGTATTTGATTTCTCCTTTGGCTTTATACTAAAAGACCTGACTTTCAGGGAGAGTTAAGTATTAGGAAAGAAAAAAGTAAAAGTCAAACTCTGAAATGAATAAGTATACCACAAGATAGTATAAATCATACACTTTGTGATAAGAAATAGTAGTTTGAAATTACAGGAGCTATTTTCCTCTTAATTTTTTCTTCAGAACTGCTAACGTATGAGTTAGGGAGGGATGTAGCTCAGTGATAGAGCACTTGCCTAGCACGCATGAGTAACAACAACAAAAGAACATCAGTAACAATAACAAAAATCAGTAAACAGTTCTTTCTCTTTTCTTTTTCTTAATGGCATCTCATGGCTTATCTTTCTATACTCCTGTTAGAGTATTTACTTTTTGGGGCAGATGCAAGTGCTGCCAAGGCCTGGCTGCGTGGACTGAGACACTCCAGGAGAAGTAGAGGAAGTTGCTTGTTGACCAGTTCCACTCAGGGAGGAGTGGAACCTGCCTTGGCCTTGATCCTGGCCCCACTCTTGGTGCTGCCTCCTGACACCCCTGTCAATAAGAATGCTGGGAAAGAGGACTTTATTCCTTTAGTCAGTGGCTGTTAGGTGTTTATTATATCCCAGGCATGATTTTCTGTGCTTTGAATTTTAACAGTAAACCAGACAAGATCTCTACATTCAACGGGGCGGGGGGGGGGAGAGGGGGGTGGAGGGTTAGATAATAAGTAAACTAAAAAAAATTGAAAAAGTGATAATAAGTCAGCTAAAAATTTTTAGGTAGTAATAAATGCTATTAAAACATCAAATAGGAGGAAGGATAGACAATGATGGGGTGGTAGGAGGGGCTACTTCATATGTAATATCAGGGAAAGTTCTCTGAGGAAATAACATCTGGGTCTTTTAAGTAAAGATCAGAACAATAAATAAATAAATGGCCAACTGTGTAGCAGTGGAGGGTTGTGGAGGGTCTAGGGAAGGCAGAAGCGGCACAGAGAGTATCACATCCAGGATCTAAAGGCAGGCGTGAACTTGGCAGGTAGTTAAAGCCACAGCTTCTTTCAAAGGGCTCCCTTCTAAGAGGTCTGCAGAAGGATTTGCTGCTGGGCATGGGTGTGTTCAAGGTAGGCTTTAGACACCCTCAACAAACCCATGCCCAGCAGTAAATCCTTCTGTGTCTTATGTATGGTGAATTTCACAGCCCTCTCAACTAAAGATGGAGGATCCCTGACCAGAAAATACAAAGAAGTCATACATGATATTTCCATTTGTTTAAAAACCCTTGTACTTTTCCTACAGTGTCTGCTGCACAGAGCTTTACATCCCCAGGAACCTCTGCCCCCAATCCAGCAGCATATTTTGAATATGCTGGATCCCCCTACTGAGGTGACAGCAAAATGTCAGATCCCTCTCTCCAAAATAAAGACCCTTTTCCCTCTGACTGAAGCTGTCAAGAAAAAGGATCAAGTAACTGCTCAGGACGTTTTCCAAGACAAGTAAGTACCGGATGTAGTTGCAGTTAAGATTTATAGAAGTCTTGGAGGGGCTTTGGAGTTAAGGTATTGCCTGGGGGTTTGTGGAATGATGAAGGTGGAGAAGAAGCCTTTTGATGATTGATCCTTGCATTGAAATACTGGTTTTTCATATCTGTTCCTTAGTCATATTTTATCCTTGCTGTTCACTTGGGATTTTTTTTGGTACTGGGAATTGAACTCAAGATCTTGTGCTTGCCAGGGAAGGTTAAGTGTCAGTGAAGTTTTTAAAGAAAAGTTGGAAAAAAGAATGAAAAGTCCAGCCCTTCTTTAGTTACTCTATTAGTATGTTAGTGATGTAGTCGCTTGTGCTATTAGGGAAGTAGTATGCCATTAGGGAGGCATTTATTGCAAAATGCTTTTCATATGATCCTTCAATCAAGCTTACAAGTGGCTATTAAGGTTTTTCCTCATCAGATTCTGTTCAGAATCTGTATTACTTTCCATACAAACAAAACAAAAATAAACTAGGGGAAATTGTTCTTGATTATCCAGAATCATTTTAGGTATGTAACATTGATTTTACCAGGTTTCGGTCAACTGGTTTTTTTCCTTAAACCAGAATACTCTGTTCACTTCTTGCTTCCCTTGAGATCTGGCTTTAGATCTACATATATATATATATATATATATATTTATATTGCTTTAATTTCCTTCCCTCAGCTGTATCTTCATTGACAAAGATACTATAAAAGATACTATAAATAACCCCAGTGAAAGAGTATTGAGTAATTTCCTGAAGTTTTCTCTAGTTTCTATAAATCAATGCTGGAAGTATTGTCCAAGTTGAATAGAAAGATTTGCATATTTTGTGGCTTTCCAGAGGTTAACACCCCAAGCTTTGTCAGAATTGGAAAAAAAAATCATGCACTTGGCCAGGCATGGTAACACATGCCTGTAATCCCAGCACTTGGGAGGTTGAGGCAGGAGAAGTGCTGGCAGTTCAAGGCCAGCCTGGGCTACATAGTGAGTTCAAGGCTAGCCTGAACTACATAGTGAGACCCTGTCTCAAAAACAAACAAACAAAAGAAACAAAAAATCATGCACTCAACAGATTCTATCATGTACATTGCTATTAGATCCTTGGAGAGATAATCTATCCTGCCTTCTACACAGGAAGACTGTCCCTAAAAATCCACTTTCCTTCCACTGTCCTCACCTAGCTATATTCCCCTGGATCCATAGTGTGGAGCAGTTCAATGCCAGTCTGTGGCCTCTTCTTCCCATGAAGCCTTGCTGTAGGCTCTCTGCAATCACAGGTCTATTCTATCTCCCTCTCTCAGCTCCAGTTCATGATCTTGATTACCTTCTGGTGTTGTCGGAAAGAAATGGGCCATTTTCTCTACCTTCTTTGATTAAAATGTAAATTAGCTGGTTAAAAAACACACCAGAGAGACCCAGAAGGCTGTTGTTCTGTGATTTGATCCCTGCTGTGATTACACCTTTAGCTATAGTCCTATCTCTCACTATTCTGGAAGGTTCTATATGCTGGGCGTTCATAATGGTGTACAACAGAGCCAAGTTATCTGCCTGGGGCCTGGAAATTATCAGTCATATATACCTATTCACCCTCCTATTCTGCCCTTTCTTCTCCTAAGTATTAGATTTTAAGAACTCTAAGAACTACAGAAATGACGCATTTAGCATGTATTTATTGAGTACCTCATGTATTCAAGAAAAATGATTTAGTTCCTTCTTCACAGTTCTTAAAACCCTCCATTTTTTATGAGAAGGCTTCAGTCAGCCTTAGAAGTAGTTTCTGTAAGGGAGAAAAGGTTGCTAATGCTGAGCTATAGCATATATATATTTTTTGTCTTCTTCTTCTTCCCCATCATCCCTGTACCCAGGGCACATAATTACTGGAGTGGGGTGGAGGGACTAAGATTGGCAAATGGCAAATGTCCAATACTAAGGTAACCCTCAGCTATGTTTTTGAGGATGTTTATCATCCATGATCCAGAGTACGTATTTCCAGTGGAGGGGTAGGGGGGCTAAAATTGATGAGTGGCATATGTCTGCACAGGAAGTTTCATACTTAGTGATAAGAGTCCTGAGGGTAGGACTCACTTATTTTAATTTTAGCTTTGTTACTGTTGTTCTGAATTTGATTGAATAATTTTACCTTTATGAGATTTTCTGCACCTGAACACAGCCTCACCTCAAGAGATATAACAGTGAAATCACATATATTACAACACTTTAATCTATTTGAAGGGAAGGCAGTAGTCAAAACTCACACAATAATAGTATCATAGTATCAGCAGAAGGGTGAACATCTGAGAAGGTCTGATACATGTCTTGGACTTGGTGAATACCTAGTGTTAAAAATGATTTCTTTATTTCAAGAGGAAAGAACACCATTTGGTACTTTAGTCTCACTGTATACTACATATTACCCATATCACAGAAATGCGTTACTTCCTGTAAAGTTGACACACATCTCCTAGAAATGAAAATATCAGAGTTAGGACATCTGAGGTCTAATCCTGCATGTGCAACTGATGAGCTTTGTAAGTAAAAATTTTAAAAATCCTAATTATGTCTCTAGTACATTAATAACAGTGGTAATGATGGTAGAAAAGTTTTCATGGAGAATACAGAGACAAATTGGTGGGAATGCCTCGATTTTCTGGCCTATCTTATCTAAAGCACGTGTGTTTTACATCTACCTTTACTTCAGTGGCATAGGGCACTTCATCCTGTCTGAAGTGTATTGCTTAACCTGTGCCCTACACTTCGTCTTCTGTCTCATCTGCTACCTTAGTCCCCTAATAAAGGCTTCTGACTTCCTGTATTTTCAGCTTTTCCTTTTACCAGCTCCTTTCCCTTTTTATCTAAGACAAAATAAAATACCTTCCTCCCAGCTTCTTCCTTCCAGTTACTGCCTGGTACTAATTATTATTCTAATTATTATCTTTCCCTCCACAAGCCAGCCTGTTTGCCTCTGCCCCGACCATCTCTCAGAAACTGGTCTTCCAAGACATGCACTGCCTGGTTCTCTTCAGCTTTGCAGTCCTTTTCTTTTATGGCCTTTTTCTTTGTAGCACTTGACCTTGTCAAGTATTCTTTTCCTTTTGGAACCCACGTATCTTCCTCAACTTCAGGCAGTACCCTTGTAGAATGGGGCTGCATTTCATTCCCCGCAACCTTAATGTTGATGTTGGTAGGGCTTGTACTCAGACAAGCATACATTTCATTAGTAAATTCATTCATTCATTCATTCGTTCATTTGAGACAGGACCTTGTTATGTAGCCCAAGATGGCCTTGAACTCATGGTGATCCTCCTGGCTCAGCCTCCGGCGTGCTGGGATTACAGGTGCACACCACCACCACCATGCTCGGCCCAAGCTTACATTTATTGAACACAAGTATAATGCCTGGTGGTTTACTTGCATTATCTATTTGGATCCACTTGGCCATCCTATGAAGTAGGTTGTTGTATTGACACCATCTTAAAGCTGAAGAGACTGAGGATTAGGGAAGATAAGATTCCTGCTGGCAAAAGTTGGAGGAAGGATTTAAATGCAGGCAGCCTGACTCCAGAGCTTATACTCTTAGCTGTAATTCCATTTTGTCTTAGCAAGGCATGTCCCAGGATCTTTTATTATTGTACATGTACAGCTTCACAAACCATCAAATATCTCTCTGCAGCCTGGATTTTTATCCTGTTGGCAAGATAGGTTAAGTGTATAGAATTATTTCAAGTTCAGTATGTCTAGAAATACAATTGTGTCGTTTCTCTTTCCGTGCCCCTTTCAAAGCCCACTTAAAGCTGATACAATCTTTCAGTGAACAACACCCGATTTCCAGGAGGTCATCCCTTTCTTTAACTTTCTGTATCTAATTGGTTTGCCAAGCTGCATTAAATTTGCCTCAAACCTACGTTTTTTACTTCAGGTAAGTATAGTGGCTTATGGCATTGATTTTAGAGTCAGATTTGGATCTAAACCAAAACATTTCTCCTTAAAATGGTGGAAAGTGGCAAGTTGATGTTATTGTCAATGTAGGTAACAAATACCTGCCTTTCATGAGCCTTTATTTGTTCATGTATAAAAGGACAGTGATAAAGCAATATACATATATACGTAATTTTCCCCTTCTTTCTTTTCTCTTTTCCCTCATCCCAGTTGCTCTTTACTTTTGAGTAGTTTCCTTTCGTTTCACAATGTTTATCATACCTCCTATTTTTTATTCACTCTCTCAGGTTCTTACACTAGTGAGACAATACGTTGCTTACACATGCAGGTCTGATTTATTTCACCTATGACTGTGGTCTCTAGTTGTGACCATTTACCTATAAAAGCCTCGAGTTTATCTTTCTTTATAGCTGAGTAATACTCCATTATATAAAAATGCCACAATTGAAAGGAACAGTTAATGATTAATTATTTGATCAATCTTGCTTGTCTATATTTGTTTTCCTGAGTAACCACTTTGAAGTTATCAATATGTAATACAAGAACCATTGTTAATTTCCTGTCACCTTGTCTGTAATTCAGTATTGCTTGTACTATTCTTGTGCTACTCTGTAAATGGTTGTTTGTTTGCTAATATGTTTTTGTTCTTTTACTTTTAAAATAAAAAAATGGACAGTGATAATAGCTAACACTTGGGGTTGTGGCAAAGTTTAACTTAGTTTAAATGTGCCTGGCATTGTGACTAGCATGGTAGATCTTAATGGCATCATTCACAGCCGTTACTTTTATGTATGCCTCCTTATTTTAGCCTGCTTCACTAGGATAAATAACCTCATAACTGATTTTTTCTCCTTCCACTCCATTCTGTGAAGTGAGTGGTGTATTTTGTCAAAGGTATTATATTTCAAAGGTTACTTATGAGGGGCTTCGCCACCTTCCCTACATGCGTCGCTCTGCAGGAACTTCCATGTGTTCAACTCTCCAGAAGCTGTCTGAACCCTGTCCGTTGAGTTTATCTGGAGACTTCATAATGTAGGGATGATTGATTAAATCAGTAGCCATTGGTGATCAATTTAACCTTCAGCCCCTCCTCCCCAGAGGCAGAAGATAGGACTAAAATTCTCAGCCCTCTAATTCTGCCTTGGTCTTTCTGGTGACCAGGATCTGCCTCCCCTGGCACCCTACTTGTTCTGAAGCTGCCTAGACCTATCAGGCAACCTGAGTTGCATGTTTTGGCAGTGATGGGAATTGAGCCCAGGGCTTTGTGCAAGCTAGGCTGAGTGATTTTTTTCCTTTCTTTTAAAAATCTGATCACATCATTCCTGCTTAAAATTCTTTAATGCTATGATTCTTAATCTCTCTTCGCCTTCCTCTTGATGGATTTATATATGCCATTACATACCAAGTTTTTTGTTGTTGTTTTTGAGACAGAGTCTCACTGTGTAGTTCAGGCTGGCTTTGAACTCACTATGTAACCCAGGCTGGCCTTGAATTTGTGGTGATCCTCCTGCCTCAGCATCCTGATTGTTGGGATTATAGGCGTGAGCCACCAAGTTTTGAATATACTTTTACATAGTTCACAGACTCTTAGATTGCTGATTTTACCTTCAGGATAAGATCATCAGACTGTTACACAAATGAGAAAACCCAATAAACAGAAAAAATAAAAATACAGCTAGCTACTTAGAGGGAACCATTTTTTCCTGCGTTTGGGAGTAGGGCTTTTGAAGGTTGAACTCCAGGGCCTCATTCATGCTAAGAGTATGGTCAACCACAGTACTACACCCCAGCTCCTCCTCACATTTTTTTCCACCCATGATTTCTGTATTTTTTAACCTCAGTTCTCATTACTTCCCAGGTTATGCCTCATGGTGTAATCCAGTACAACCGCTTGCTTATAATAAGAGATGTGCTGCTTATCCCAGTTATTATTTGTTTACATATTTATCTTTTTTATTTGTCTGAACTTATTGACAGTGGTGTATATTAATTTTTATATGACTAGCTTAGTGGTTGACACATAGTAAATATTCAGCCAAAAATTTATATATGTTTATAAAAGAGAATGAGGAAAAAAAGGAACAAATGTCTCATGGTTCCATCATCCAAATGCGGTATCTGTTAATATTTGTATATCTACCTTGATTTCGTATGGGTGATTTCAACTTTCTAGGGTTTAGTGTCTGCATAGATAATTTGGGGATGAGAGTCTGTGCCTTTTTCTGCCTAATATAGATGTTATGAGTATAATATATGCAAAATTTCTAATAATGGTACTAGATGACTTCACCTTGAGACTGTTAAGCATAGTAAAGTTTCACTACTTTCTGTTCACTTCTGGGGCTGTTTTTATCTGCCTGGTACTGGCAATTGGTACATATAGTGGTACCTCAGTTCACAAACTTAATCCTTTCCATGATTCTGATTGCACTGTACTGTGCTTCCAATTCCATTGTGACCAGAACTGTGGAAAGAATTAAGTTTGCAAACTGAAGTACTACTGTCTCTTTACCCTTCCTTTTTAGAATATTACTTTGGAGAGTTTAAGAAATTCTTCATGTCGGAGAAACCAGGGTATAGTACAACAGCCATTGATAATTTCCTGCCATTTTTGTCTGTAACTCACTAGTATTTGTCTATTTGTTTTCCTGAGAAACTATCTTGAAGATACCAATAGGTAAAACAACAATCATTGATAATGTCCTACCACTTTGTCTATAATTCGGTGAATCCCCCTATTGCTATATTGTCCTTCTTTTACTCTTTAAAATAAAAATAAAAAAATAAAAAAAAGAAAGAAATTCTTCATGTGGTTCAACCATATGTTTCTGCAGAACCTAACCTAGGGTTTTGTGTATAGTAATGCTTCTTAATATTACTTTATAAGTTAGGATTTTTTGGAAGACATTAGTTAATAAACTAATGATACTTTTTACTGTATGTTTCCCTGAAGAGCACACTGAAGCTCAGGAAGATAAGAACTTACTAAAATTCAAACTCTGGATGTACAGAAGTAATACATAATGAACACCTCCAGGAAAGTAAAGGTTCCAGGGCTAGTGAGTGGCAAAATGGAAACTGTAATCCAGGTCTTTTTTCTTCAAATCTTCAACCATACCCTAGTGTCTTTCTCATGGGAATAACTGGGAAATGTTAACTGAGCTGGCTGGCTGTAGTCATTTTTTTAAAAAATGGATTCAACTTCTAATGGAATTTTATGCTTCCTGGGTTTGTGCATTTTTCTTCCATTGTTGCCATCAAGGCTTTATGTGTTTATTTTTATTTTACTTGTAAGGAGAGAACTCTGGATGACTTACCCCTTATGTTTCCTGGTCCCTATCCTCTCTTCCTCTTCCCTCCTCTCTACTTCTCAGTGGCAAATGAAAAAGATGTCAAACAATAGAACTTTTTGTTCATGTGCGAATGGCTGTGATGCTTTGGTGATGACTATGTGTTTGCCTACCTATGAGAGGAGATTTACTATTGAAACACCACTGAGACAGCCAGCTTCTGCTTTATTTTTTCTTTGCTTTGTTTTTAATATAATATCTCCAAAAAAAAGATAACCTCTGCTTCAGAACTCATCACCTTAGCGTGGCAGTTTTGAACAATACATAGAAATACTAGTGTTAAAAATCACTAAGAGAGTAGATTGTAACTGTTCTTACCACAAAAAAGGACAACTGCGAGGTAACACGTATGTTAAGTAGCTCAATTTAGCCATCGCACAACGTATACATTTTTGGTATAACAGCCATTGATAATTCTACCACCACAATGGTGGTAGAACATCGTATTATACATAATAACTACAGTTTTTGTCAATTAAAATTAGTTATTTAAAAAAGAAACACTAGATCATCGTTAATAATTTCTTACTCATTTCTTTCAGCCATTCTTTAATGCCTGACATCCTAGACCAATTACTAGGAGAAAAATCTTCGTATCTTTATGTTCTATAGTGTATGGGAAATCATGGCAGAATCTTTGGATTGGATTTTCTTTTTCTTTGTAGTTAACTTGACCTCCTCTTGCCTCAAATGCACACTGCTAAAGCCAGCATGTTACTTGAGGCAAGATATTTGATACACTTTCTTGGAGTTGTCTTTCTCTTAGCACACAGATGGTAAGAGAAATGCAGATTGTGTTAATATGTTGCCCTAAATAGAATTAGGTTTATTTATTTATTTATGTTTTTGATACTGGGAATTGAACTCAGGACCTTGTGCTTGCCAGGCAGGTGCTTGTGCTTCTGGGCTATACCCCCGGCCCTAGAATTAGGTTTATGAAAGAACAAATTAAATAGATTTTTTTGGAAAGCATTTTAAAAAAACAGTGTAAAAGTTCTTTAAGAAGCTCTTATATATTTAATTAAAGGTTGTCTAGTAATTTTGACAGTTGCAGATAGAAGCATATAAAGCTCTCACATAGACAATACGTGATAAAAAAATTCTTCTAAGTCCATAGAAAGCTACTAGCTATCAATTCTGAGATAGGGACTGTAAGTAATATCTGAATGCAAGTAATATCTAATGTAGACGGGTTTCTTATTTAAATGCTGTATTTCCATTACTTGTGCTTGCAGTTTCATCTTCTGTGAGGACTTCGTGATACACCTAATTATGATTTCTATACTGCTGGGGGGAAAAGCCAGGTGGCTGCAGGTCAGCCCACCGGGGTGGCCTTACAGATAGGAGAGTGAGATGAGGTGTTGTAAAGGACAAAGCACTGTGACTATTTTGTTTTGATGCTAGGAAATAAGTTAATACTATTTATATTAAAAATTCTGGGTTTTGTTTGTTTTAAAGAAAAAAGCCATTTCTTTCTTTTGCAGCCATGAAGAAGGACCTACCATTAAAAAACACAAAACTGAGGAAGGGGAAACCCACTTCAGTGTCTCCAACCTAGCTGAAGGCAATGTCACCAAGGTAAGCAGGGCTTTTCCAGTGTGTGCTGCCCTGTGCAGGAAGGTTGGGGCTTAGGGAAGATGGTATCAGCTTGAGTGGTCTGTGAACTTACTATTGTAGGCCCATCTTATACTTCTTTCCTTCTAAACAACGTATAGAACATGGAAAATCTCAGTGGTAGGATTTTTTTCCCCCTATTACTGAGGATTGAATCCAGGTCCTTTGCACTGAGCTACACTCCAGCCCTTTTTTATTTTTTATTTTGAGACAGGATCTTGCTAAATTGTTGAGTTGCTTAGGTTGAGTTTGAACTTGAGATCCTCCTGTCTCAACCTCCCAGTGTACTGGGATTACAGGCATGTGCTGTCACCCCTGTGGTGGTAGCACTTTTTGTGCAGATTTTTTTTGTTGGCATCATTTTGCAGGTTTTCTTTTAGTCAAAATGATAAGTGAGGGTTAATGATCTGAATCTCATGCTCTGAGTACTTAAAATTTAAGTTAGTGTAATTTTCCTGTGTCTTTTCTAATATGCAATTGTAGAACGGGATTCACAAGTTTAGGATTTTCCCAAAGCAAATATTTTGACACTTAAAAGCTTTATTTAATGAAAAGGGTTTTGGAGCTTGAAAAGATTACCTTATTTTAAGCAGCATTATTTTGAATCAGTGGGTTTTAAAAATTGTATCTCATTAGCAAATTACAGTAGCAAGGAAGGTGGGCACTAAGGCATGCCTTTATGGCCACCTCAAACAGAAATACTCTCAGAAAAATTGAATGTCTTAAGCTGGGCATGGTGGCACATGCCTGTAATTCCACTACTCTAGGAGGCTGAGACAGGATGATGGCAAGTTCAAACCCAGCTTGGGCAACTTAGTGAGAGCCTGTCTCAAAATAAAAATTAAAATAAAATAAAATAAAATAAAATGGACTGGGATGTAGCTTAGTGAGAAGGCTCTGGGTTCAATTCCCATTACCAAGAGAAAAAAGTTAACAGAAAAATAAAATGTTTATAAATTGATTTGGATTTTCATTTGGATATTTTATAATGTAGGAAAAACTCATGATCTTTTTTGTTCCAAAAGCTTTTCTGCTTGCTATTGCAAAGCAAAACGGAAAGAGTTCATTTTATACTAAGGTTTACCAGCCCTAAAAGGAACCCCATTGTTGTCTTTGTGAGCTTAGTGATACTCAGGCCCTGAAGGGTTGGGGCCAGCAGATTAAAGACAGAGTCAGTGATCAGAAAGTGCCATACAGTGTGGCTAAGAGTTGCATCTTTGAAACTTCCCCCTATAGCACTTTCCCCTCTAGACTGCAGTAAGTCTTTACATGATCTGTTTTTACTTGTTGGGAACATGTTCATCTTGGGCATATTTGTGTATTCTACCAAAACTTTGATTTTTATGGGCCAGCGGCAGTCTCTCCAAAGGGGAAGTTGAGTGAATCAAGCATTATGCTGTTATTTCTCAGGTCATCATAGTGGGATGAGTATATTTAGTGTGACCCACACTAAGGCATCCTCCCCTTCCTAATTGGTTGGGTATCAGCATATATAGGCAGTTGATACCATATGGAGCCTTTAAGCGACCTGGCTGGAACCTAGCATTTTATTACTTTTGACCTCTGGAAACAAGTCAGTTTGCATAAAGAAAGGTGAGTGAAAGCAGACAGGCCAACTTGTGACCACTTAAATCTGCTAGCTTTTAACAGAGCCCTGGAAATGACAGTGTCAGAAATGGCCTTCTCTTTGTCTTTAAGAGCACACATACTGCATTAAGGTCTATTGCATTGCTTGGGGTGCTGCCAGTAAGAGAAGTAACCCCAGGTTCATTGTCTGTGATATTACAGGTTGGAAGTGTGAATCCTGCTGAAAACTTCCGTGCACTGGTGAGACAGAAGAATGCCAGCTTTGAGGAAGGTGAGTGGTGTGCCATTGGCTTGGCACTCAGGAGAGGGTACTTAATTAGGCTGATTTAAAGTCTAGATTAATAACTATAGCCTTTTATTGCAGTGCTCTATACATTTATCTTTCCTGGCAGATCGTGGTGATTTCTCTTGTTAAGATTCACTGAGCAGCTGGATGTGGTGGCACACACCTGTAAAGCTAGCACTCAGGGGCTGAGGCAGGAGGATCCTTGCAAGCTTGAGAACAGCCTGGCCTACAAAGTGGCTCAAGGCCAGCCTGAACTGCACAGCGAGACCCTGTCTCAAAAAGAGAAACAAAAATAAAGATTCACTGAGGCAACATTATGAGCGCACGAGGGCAAATGCAGTAAAGGCTTGCCCAGAGGAAGAACTAATTTATAGGTCTCCTTGTTACAGAAACTTTGAACCAGAACCATGGGACTTTGAGTTCTACCTTTCTGAAGTGCTTCAGGGTCTTCTGAATGAACTTGGATCATATTGTCTATTTTCAGAGACATACAATTCTTGTTCTAGTCCTGAGAGGTTAGGCCACATTTGTAGTAGTTTCTGAAAGACCTTATTGCTGCCCCTGGATTTGATCTTTCTCAAATTGACTGCTTCCTCACATTTTTCTTATCAGATATAATCTATAATTCCATTTAGGCCGGGGTTAATATCAAAATAGCTTTCAGAGATGGATGGAGGGTCTGGGATCAATATTCATTCACTTACTACATTCAGATTCCTCTTTACCCTTTGGAAGGGCAACTGGCAGTGGTTCATCGTGCAGGTTTGTAAGTACCACATATTCCTTCAGTTTTGCTCCCCAAACTAAGGCCTGTTGGTGAGCTACCTTCTGTGTGTGTGTTTAAGTTCAGGTATGCACAGAACTTTCACTTCTAGACTGGTGGCATTGAAGGAGGCAAACTAAATGCCTGGAAACACTGCTGCTTGGCATAGGTCCAAGGCACCTTGCTACTTATACTCCAGGAATCTGGGAAGGTGCCCAGACTTACTGTGCTGTTGCCCAAAGGCAATCATCACCAGCTGAGCTTCAGAGAGAGCAAACAATCTAGCAGGCCAGATCCTGTTGGCAGGCATGCCAAGGGCCAAGCCCAGGAGAATTTCCTGAGGAAGATTACTTTGTCATCATAGTAATCTGCAGTCTTAATTGGGCGTGTATGTTTTGTGTTTTAAGATGCAAGAAGAGTAGTAGGAATGGCCATATAAGAGAAAAGGTTTTGAGTTGTAACAGAACAAAAACTTTATGTACTTACTGAAGGAAATCCAAAATTCAAAGTGAATTTTCCAGAAAGATTGGTGACAGTAGTGCTTCAGAATCTCCTTTCATGAATTAGGGTGATCAGAGGAGACTTATTGTGTAGTAGTTGTGCTGCTGTCTGTTTGGCTGTATATTGTGACTTTGTGGGAGAAGGCAGACAAGCCAGTGTACCCTATTGTTCATGATTTTAGTGTTTTTGAAGAAAGATTTAGAGCTTTTTAGCTTTAATTGCTTGTTGTCAGTTACCTCAGCCAGTCAGGGTCCAAGGTCTTCTCCCTGTAAGTGATTAGTCTGTTGGGCTGGTATAGGCACTTTTTTTCAGGGATTAAATCTAGCTGTGATGGTCATTATATGGTATCCAGTATTTACTTTGTGCCTGCCATGTGCAAGGCATTGTGCTAGTACTTTGGTATTTTTTTTCATTTACCTTGCCTACAATCCTGCAAAGTCCCGCGAGGAAGTAGAGAAATGTTAGCACTTTAATAGCTAGTGAATTTTCTGAAAGAGAGAATTTTTTTTTTTTTTTTATTGGGAAAATACTTTGGGTCCCTAGAGGAGAAAATGAATCTCTGTCCATGGGCATGGTGTTTATCCAGTCTTGAGACTTGAGAGAAAGGGAAATTGCCTCAGCTTTATAGATGGAGGAAACCTGGAGCTAGTTCAAGAAAAGGGCAGGAGGGGCTGGGGATTTAGCTCAGCGGCAAAAGTGCCTGCCTGGCAAGCACAAGGTCGTGAGTTCGGTTCCTGGTACCAGAGGAAAAAAAAAAAAAAAAAAGAAAAGGGCAGGAGAAGGGAAGAAAAGGGACAGGAAGTGTGTGAATTTACACAGAGGCACAGCCTTTTGTACATGTCCCCAAATTATGACAACAAATACTAGTGCCTTTAAAACTCTGGGAATGCTAGGTTTGTATTCTGTCCAGGGAGAAACTGGTGGAGAGGCAATTTGGTGTCTGGAATATTTTCAGGCTTGGCAGAGAAAGCACCTGTGAACACAGGAGACCAGAATCTTAAGGGACCACGAGAGAATAAATTCCTGGAAATTGGTTCAGTCTTAGGAAAATAGGGTTCCTCTGAGCCAGAAAACTGAGGATTTGAAGTAGTCCTGTAAAATGAAGAAGGACAAGTGGACCCAGATGTCATGTAGACTGCTATAGGTTATTACCTCCATTTTATCAATGAAAAAACTTAAAATTGGAAGAGATGGACTTACCCTAAACCACACAGGAATACAAACACATATCTCTTTAACATACTGGGTTGTTTTACTCAGCCAGACTATTTATTCTGTTTCCTAATGGTCTCCTTTCCTACACTAAAGAAGATCATAAGGTTATGTATCTAAAACCTTGTGGCTGTCTATAGGTAGGACTTGGATGAGTTCTGTCTTTCACATTGAATATAATTTCGAGTCCTAGCACATTGCTAGTGTGATAGTGCATGTCTTCAGTATCTCCACCTAGGTCTTGGTGAATCAGAGTTGTCTGGTGATGTCACAAAACCCACACTTTCCACAGAACTGTCAGAAAAGTGGGATAGCCACTTGTTGGCCACTAATTCTGCTTTGTGGCTCTCACATGGCTTCCCTTTTTAACTATCCTTCTGTGTCTAGCTCCAGAAATTTTGTGTCTTAATTGCTAGTTCTGCTTTTGTTCTCCTGCTTGGTTTTCTCTCCCTCTCTTTTTTTGTCTTTTTGAGACAGGGTCTCGCTATGCAGCTCAGGCTGTTAGCTCCCTTTGTAGTCCAGGCTGGTCTTGAACTCACAACAATCCTCCTGCCTCAGCCTCCTGAGTGCTGGGATTACAGGTGTGTGCCACCATGCCCGGCCTGGTTATCTCTTTACTAAGGTGTTAGTAAGTCATCCTGGGGGGGGGGCGGCCCAAGTGAAATTTTGCAGGTGAGGTCCCAAGGTTAAAGAACGTATGTTTGCAACACATCAGCAACAACAGCATGCAGCATGGAGCAGAGGAGAGTAGCAGTTTGCATTTGTCTGATTAGATGATCAGTTAATTCTGTGGCTGCTGAGGTATTGCTCTCATTTTTCTTTCCTTTCATTTTGGATCAGCTCTTGCCCCAAGTCTATTTGACTTTGCTCTTTTCCTTATTCTCATTTATAAAAGACACTCCTTAAGTTTTTAAAGATATTTCCTCAAATTCACTTTATAAGTTCTCTTAGCACTAAATAAAATATGCTACAATTAGTAGTGAAATTACATTAATCATCAAAGCCAAATAAATAGTTTTTTTTTCAGTTTTGTTTTTGTATGATGTAGCACTGTCCCATGTGCAGAGCAGTTTACTTACACAGATCATGTAATTTTTATGTAACCCTAAATTGTGGATCCTTTAACATTGTTGTGTAGGAGAAATTTTCTGTATGCACGGTGTGTGTGTGTGTGTTTGTAACTGACTTAGATTTATATGATCTTGAATATGATTTACCTGTTGTATCTCTGTCCAGATAAGCAGATATAAATGTGGCTTTTGTCTATACAAAGCTGATCATTTTAAGAAAAACAAATTCTGAGCATCCTAAAAGAAATAGTAAATACAGTGACTAAATTTTTAAGCCTCTTCAGACCTATAAAAATTTTTTAAAAAACAATTTAATGTACTTTTAAAATCTGTACTCAAAATAACATCAGTGTATCTAGTCATGAAGGAGAAAATACAATGCATGTATTCTAGACTCTATAATAAATAAAATGATTTTTTTTTATTAACTATTTTTACTTGTTCTTTACTGGTTACTTTTTGTCTCATTTTAAATTGTTAAACCCAGAATTGGAAGATCCAGCCTTATTTTCTGCCTCATTGATTAAGACAAGTCATCTCGTTCTAATTCAAAAATCAGTCTGTTAGAATCCTGCAGGACACCTGCTGAAAGGATGTGTTATTATTTGACATGGTTATTATACATCAGTGGCCCTTAGGGTCTAGTTCATCTTCATGAGGGTGGACGGAGGCCCAGAGTAGTTAGGATGACTTTCCACAGTTACGGCGAGTGTGTAGAAGACACTGGATCAAATCCAGAGAGCTCACTTTGGCCTCTTGTGACTAAACGTCTTCATTGGTTGCATACCTGTCATTAGATGACACACAGCACTACCTTGAAGTGTACATTGTAATATAAAACTCATCAGCCAAATAATTAAAATGAAATCATTGAAATAAAGATGAGAAAATAAAAAAGACATGACATAGAAACCAAAGACCGTTATACACACATAACCTTTATCAAAGTATTTTAATTTTTCAGCTCTTCATAAAAGGCTTCCATCCTTTCTTACTCTGTTTCTGAAATCATTTAAAATTTCTGTCAATCCATTTATCAGAACATCCCTAATTGTAGGGTATAGCTCTTGGAAAATGTGACCTGCCTATCCCTTAAGAAAGAAAGATGACGGGTATAAAAATGAAAGCATGTGTGTGATCATTATGTTCTCAGTGAACATTTAGATTTCTCCTGAGAGCATTCAAGGAAGTCTGTATTGCATATACCACAGCAATCCTGATTTCTCCCAATGTTTTGTTTTCTCATGCTATGTAATAAAGTGGTTTGCCTTAAACCTGCTGAGTAATTTTTCTCTTTTTATGTTGAAAATGGGAAAGCTATCTTTCCCTCTGGCTGAAAATGTGGATCTTATGAACACTTTTCCTTGTTAAAACAACCAGAAGAGCCCAGAGTCCATTTAAACCTTCATTTCGCATTCTGAACCTTCAGCTTGTGTTGA